GTTTTAACCAAGTTAGTTAATTTTCTCAGTCTTTGTTTTTGAAATTGGATCTAACAGGGTCGAAGAGTTTCATTTAAGAATGCATTGGTGGTAATGACTTCAAATGTGGGGTCTAGTGCCATTGCAAAAGGTCGACGCAACTCCATAGGTTTCTTGCTTCCAAATGACAAAGAAACTTCATACAATGGTTTGAAATCAATGGTGATGGAAGAATTAAGGACATATTTTCGTCCAGAATTTCTAAACAGAATAGACGAGGTGGTAGTGTTTCAAACCCTTGACAGGACACAGGTTCGTTTTCTTAGGATATCGTTTCTAATAATGCAAACTCTTTTTACTATGAGCAATCAATTGGATATTTTAAGGAAAAAAAAGTTATAAATTTAGAAAACAAAGTGGATTGAGGTCTTATATTTAAAATCAAAATAAATATCTTGTTTAGCTTTATATTTAGGATTAAAAGTAATATCACGTTAATATTTTAAATGCTAACTTATTACATTACCATTTTAAATGCAGCTTCTTGAAATATTGGATTTGATGCTTGGAGAGGTGGAGAAGAGGACCAGGTCTCTAGGAATTGAGTTAGAGGTGTCTGAATCTGTGAAGGACTTGGTGTGCCAGCACGGGTATGACCCTACATATGGTGCTAGGCCCCTTAGGAGGGCAGTTACTTCACTCATTGAAGATCCCTTGAGTGAAGCAATCATTGCTGGAGAGTGCAAACAAGGTGACAATGTCCTAATTGATTTGGATGCTGATGGTAACCCATTTGTTATAAATAAGTTTAATCAAATTGTCAACTCATCTTGACACAACTTAACCATGTAAATAACCATTCTGCAAGGAATAGGTCCACAATTATTTATATTCTGTTTTTCCCCCCAAGAAAAGCCCCTTGTTTCTAGCCGGGGCAATTCACTTGTGTGTGTTGAGCACACCAATCATTCTTTTTATGAGGGAAAGAAACTCCTAATTCCATCAAAATGTAAAATAGTAAAGTTATATTGAATTCATAATTATCTCTACTTGACAGGTATAATTCTTTATGAGGGATTGTCTTTAAGTATTGATTAATTATTGGTGTAATTACATTTTTAGTAAGCAATTAGTTGTGTTAAACACTAAGTCTACGATAGATTGGGTCTTCTAATCATAATAAAATTTTTGAAAAAAAATTATCTGACTTTTATGTAATTTAGTCCAAAACTGAGAGGCTATCTTATTTTGCATTTTTTTTGTTTGAATGTTAGACCTAAAAAATAAAAAAGGGAAGGTGCCATGTTATATGTTGATTATATACAAAATCTGTTTGGAACAACTTATAGGTAGTTTTTCAATAATAATTTATGGAATACAAAGTAAGTATATGAGAAAAGTTTTTTTCGGTTTATGTGAAATGTGCTTATATGGAATTTCCACCATGATCCCAAACAGGTACAAACAGGTACATAGTATGTGATGATGCTCGCTCCTTTCCTATTTATACGTGGTATAATAAGTTTATATTTTGTTTATAAGTCATTTTGCAGAATTTATGAAGGATTAATAAGGGTCAGTTTGGATTGGCAGTGGAAAAAATAACTTATTCTTAATCTAATTTTTTAAAAAAGTAAGATTGGATAAAAGTTAAATTGGATAAGGTAAATTGTGTTTGGATTAGAGTTTAAAAAAATTAGTTTGTAAAAATTAGATTGGTAAAAAACTGTTTTGATTATAATTGAATAAAAATAAGTTTGTTTGTAAAATTATCAAAATAAGTATGAGTTTTAATAAATAATGAAACATGATTAAAAAATAAATTCATATAATATAATAAATTTAAATTAATTTAATATAAAGAAGTGAAATTTAATGAATGAATTAAATTTTAAAACATTAAAGAAATCATAAAAAAATATTTTAAATATAAAGGTGAAATATGATAAAAATAAATTTATATCATACTCTTTTAATCTTAAATATAAGACCGAACGACTATAATAAATTTAAATTAATTTAATATGAAAAAGTGAAATTAATTCAAATTGTTTCCCCCACACGCATAAAACAGAGGAGACGAGCTCGAAGAGAGGAGATGTGTGAAGCGGGAGACAAAATCACAAAATGAGCAGGAGGAGAGAGGATTTTTTTGAGCCACCAATAATTGCCTATAAACCCAATTAGCTAAAGTAATAAGCAAGAAAAAAGAGCTTTTGAAAAAGCTAGGTTCAAACCAACTTTGACCTTTAAGTGATTTGAGTCAAAAGTTTTGCCAAATACAACCATCTTGACCCAAACGTGATTAATCCTCTAAAAATCACTTATTTCATATCTAATTGTCCTTCTAAACACACACTAAAGGGGTGTTTGGATGGAAACCAAATTATGGTTTCAGAAGTACTTTTACGGTTTACGAAGTAAATATGTGGAGGAGTTTGCTTCGTTTTACAGAAAAGTGCTTCTGAGAAACACTTCTGAGGGTTACCAAACACCCTCTAAAACTATCAAATGGTGTCATTAATTTAGATATTGCTAAGTTATTATGATGAGTTGAGAGATACTTGAGTGGACTTGGTTGGCTCAATAGGACTTGGCTATGTTTTTTCAACCCTCTTTTTCCTTTCATCGCTGTTGGATCAAAATTTCAATAATTTACCTGTAATATTGTATACAAATATTATTATAATTTTATTTAAAAATATATAAATAAATTTTAACAGTCCAATGATGATAAGGGCAGAAGAAGAAAGAGGAGGGTAAGAGTAGAAGAGATTAAGAGAAAAGTCAACAAATCCAAATTCTTACTTATGACTTAATTTAACTTTTGAATCAAAAGCCACATAATTTTAAGTCTTGATTATATACTATCTTTTGTCTTAATTATAAGATTTTGTTTGTAAACTATTATTTATATACTAATTAGGAGCAAAGGTAGTATAACATAACCTCAAAAATAATATTCAATTGAGTTGAAAAAGCTTAGTTAGACATGATAATATGATTAAATGAATTGTAGATTTTTAGCAAATTATTGTAGTGCTATCTTTGAATGACGCTCAATAATTAAATTCTCCGGTTGATGTAAACATAGAAAGCTTAGTCTTGGGATTTGACCGTTAAAATAAAATCCATTTGGCAACAAAAGTTGTTCTTCAACAAATTTTTATATTAACTCTGTATACTTAATATAAAAGTTGGATAGCTAATTTAAAAATATTTTAAAAATTAGTTAAGTTGATTATTTATTATAAATATATGTTGGTCTATCTAAACTATTGTTTTGAATCATGTGCATTGAAATATCCGTTGATCCGAACCTTTTATAATCAATAGAAATATTTTAAAAAGAGTAAGAGATGCAATAACTTGAGATTTTATATTTATCATTACATTCAATTCTCCAATTAACTCTTATATTAAATTGAATTGGTAGTACTCTTTGGATTCTTAATGTAGGATTTAATTAACTATTTTAAGTAAATTAAGAATGATAATTAAATTAATTAATATGATATCTTTTTAAGACACCTTAAGTATCATTTTTAATTCTCTTTTTTTCTCTCCTATTTGATTATTGTTGGAGAAATATAATTAGGATTAATTTAAAAAATTAATAAGTATGTGTATTAGATCTTATATATAAATCTATATCAAAGCGCCGAGTATACTCATCTAATTCTATATTAAGTAGTCGGGGAGTAATTAATACTCTTTTCATCTCTTTTCATAAGCAAAAACTATCATTTCCTTTTTGTTCTTAAATATAAGTAACATTTACAAGTTATGTTAAATTCTTGTAGCAAATTTTCTATTTTATCCTATTAAATATTTATTTTAATACTCAATATATTTATTATCTTATTTTTCAAACTATCATCTTTCTCCATCACATATTTTCTCTCTTTCATAATTCTTTCTATTATAATAATTTTCTTATTATCTTTTTTACACTCTCACCCCTCATAAATAAAAATATTTAAAAATTTTTTTATTTTTATCTATTTATTATCCTTAATTAATCTTTTGATCTACCTAATAGAATTCAATGTTTTCTATAAAAAGCGAGAGGGGGAAGTAGCAAGTACCTGTGTTTGTTTTAGGGGTGTTCAAGGCCGGCCCATCCTGTCGGCCCGTTCCAATTCTGGCCTTATTAGAATGGGACGGATCTGTCCTGAAATTTTTCGGGACGGGACGGGACACGGGACAGGGTCGTCCTGTCCCGGTTCCTTTTTTTTTTTTTTTAAATTTTTTATCCTATTTATATAATATTTTTTTAATATTTTTTTAAAGATGAGACTATTATATGGAACTATAGATATATTTATTTAGAGTTTTTATATTTGTTGATGATTTGAGATTATTGATGATTCGAATTTTTAGAAAGTTTTTATTGTGTTAAAAGCTTTTGTTTAGAATTTTAATGACTATTATATGTAATATTTTGAGCTTTTGTTGAAAAGTGTCCAAACAAATAAAAAAGAAAATAAAAAGATGTTTTTATAAAAAGCCTAAACCCAAAAAACTATAATTAAAAAAATCAGATTTTATTTAAGAAATAAAAAAAATTAAAAAAATAAAAGATATATATCAGGACGTCCCTTGTCCCGTCTTGATTAGAACCGAGACAGCACCGGGACACGGGACAGATTTTCTGTCCGTTACTGTTCATCAGAATGGAACTGGAACGGGCCTGTCCTGATCCCTATTCGTCTCGCGAATAGCCGTAGTTTTTTTTGAGTCCAATAGGAGCTATACTCCTTAGCCAATATGAGATATACGGTTAATAATCTAAAAGAAGAAGAAGAAGATATTTTTATATGTTATAATGATTTTTTTGCCAGCCAAATATGAAATATCCGGTTAATATCATATTGAAATTGAATTGATTCCTTTATTATTTTTGCCTTTTATTTCTTGGGGTGTTTCACAGAGAAAAATTAACTCGACTCTGTGTCGAGCGTCGTCGTCTTGATCAACCGGGGCCCGGGGCAGAGTTTTTTTTTTTTTTTCCCCCTCCGTCGGAAATTGTTAATATGGTTAGGGTTCTTTCCCTCTTCGGTTCGCATCTGTGCTCTGATCCATCCTCCATGCCGATTCCCTCAACTGTCTTGAATTCTATCCCAATGACTGGTAATGTACCTGTCAAGGTGGAACATGACCCAGCAGCATCAATTTCAGTGTCTTTGCGATCGATATCGTCCCAGCCTGTCAAAGGAGAGCCAGATGATCTTTCAAACGGTCAGCTTCCATTGATGGTGCCGTCAGTCTCTTCAGCGCATGGAGATGATAAGCGTGCGGCTGAAATTGCGAAATCGGTGAGTGAACTCGGTAATCTAGCTTTTGCTATAAATGCTTTCAAGAGCAGGTTTGATGAATTGCAAAAGCATCTGGATTTCATCGACAAAGCCATCGACACGAGGTCCAAAGAGCTTCCTCTTCCCTCCAATACAACGCAGAATACGGTGATAGTGTCTTCTACTCCTTCGGCAGGAGGCAATGTTCATAGTACGGAACCTGTGAGTGCCCAGCCTACTCTGGTGAAGGAGAATGCATTGCATTCGAATCAGAAATTGAAAGAGAAAACTGAGAATGGGGACGGAGGTGGGTCCCTAAATGATGTTCTTTCACTTTGCCGAACGATGTGCAGCCGTGGCCTCCGTAAATATATAGTCTCAAATCTATCACAACCAGAGAAACTCCGTGAGCAAGTTCCCGTGGCGCTCAAGAGTGCCCCGAAACCATTGAAACTCGTTTTTGAATGCATTGGGCGATTTTTTCTCCAGGGAAGCAGAGCTTACAACAAAGACTCCCCCATGATTCCTGCTAGACAAGCTTCAGTTCTTGTTTTGGAATATTATCTCTTGTCCGGTTGCACTGATAATGAGAAAGACATTGATCCTTCCTTGAAGGAAGAAGCTAGCTTGTCTGCATCTGCCTGGAAGAAAAGACTGATCGTCGAGGGTGGTGTTTCAAAGGCTTGTGAGATTGATGCAAGGGGTTTGATTCTTTTCGTTGGTTGCTTCGGTATTCCAGCTGGTTTCCGACACGAAGAGATACGGGATTTGATTCGTTTGAGCAATCCTAGGGAAATTATGCATGCCCTTCGTCAGTCTCGTGGCCTTCTCAAGAAGGTTTCAGGTACTGCTTTTTGTATAATTTCATTGGCATTATTGCACACATGAGACTCACTGATTATGTATCGTGTTCAACAATTTTTAACAATTTTAATACTAAGCTATATAGTTCTACAGCTTCTCACTTAGTTTGACTAGAAGGGGGATAAAAGAATTATAATGAGAAGAAAAGGCAAAGTGTTCTTGGTTAAGACTAGAGTTCCAAGACAATAGGATGGAATCTATAGGACACGTAACCGGGCCAACAATTTTGTGAAGGTTTGTGCCACTCTATTAGGCTATTAGTTGTAACGCTTCTCATTGTCAAGTCATGTGTAATTTTTGCTAAACAAGTTCTCTGTAGAGGATACGATCAACTATGGTGTTATTGCTACTCGAAATCAGAACTGTAATTGCAGCGAAGGGTTCATTTTATTTTGTTGATATACAGAAATTACTGCTCTTGGTTTATGAAGCTAAGTCCTCTTAGGTTATCCATTTCAACTGACCTTTTAAAATATGAGCTACCCATCTTAGGTCCCATTCAGCTTGGGAATTATTCAACGAACCAAAAAAAAAAAAAAGTTCGCTACCTTAGTCAACTTCACTCGGAGATAGTCGAAGTGTTGAACAGTTATTGAATCTTGCGCGGAAAACAAGTATTGCCTGCAAGCAGCAGTGAAGACTGTTTAAGAACTAACTGAAGAACAAGGGGTAGTCTGTGATTTTTCTAACTATACGAGTATGGTACTTTGAATAATTAATATTGATCATCAAGATTCATTTGGAGAGCCAGGATACAATTGTTTCACTGGGAGCTGAATGATTTCCCCCAATATCTCTTGCTGGAGCTTAACCTCAGATCATTGTAGCCCCCCCCCTTCCCGAGGCGGCCTTTTGGGGTGGGGGCAATATGATCATTCCAGTTTAGTTCTGATAGTTTTGATGTAAACTAGTCTGGCTTCACCCTGAATTTGTTACATGCCTGGATCTGAGTTCGGGGACGGGCCTTGTGCCTTTTATATGGACTTGGGCCTGTTTATAATTCACGCAACATGCAGATTCTGGTGAAAACTCCATTCAACCTGTCCCAACCCAATACGTTAACATCCTACTATAAACATCTTACTAGGTATATATTTTCAGAGATTATAGGTTTTAAGGATAGCTCATGGCAGAAGAAATTACAAATGTTGAAGGCTTGTTTGTGCAATGTATCCGTTAAAATTTTTACTATTCTGTGTGACTGGTGGACTGTTTCATCTTATTTTAGGGGCTGAAAGCTTTATTGAGTTGGTTAGTACTTTCCATGCCTTGTATAAGTAATGAGGGGTGTTGATCGGATTTATAGTTCTTGAAACAATTAGTTCTACCGGTTGCAGTGGCGAAGGGGTTTCATCTTCTAAGTTATCATCTTTATTTTCATGATTTCCGTTACATTCTTGCTCAACATCCACTTTTTACAAAATTGGATTTTCTTCCGATCAATGTATTATATTAATTTTTTTTTCCTTCTTGACATTTGTATACTATTCCCAATTGTTTTGGATGCTAAATTTGTCATGACAATTGATATTTTGTTGCATTATTCTCTGATTGATTAATTTATTCTTCTGGAATGTTGATGAATGAATAACGTGTTGTTTTCTAATGTTCTGAAGCCTAAACCTTGTATAACCTTGCTATTTATAACTGCCACAGATATTACTGATGGATTGTTGAAGAAGGGCATGGTTGTTGAAGCTATTGACTTGGCATATATATTTGGATATGAAGAAAAACTTTCCCCTCAGACAAATTTGACTTCATATTTGCAGAAGTCTGAAGATTCTTGGAAGAAAACTAAGCAAGAAACTCGTGGTTCAGCTACTGCATTGGTATGGGCTGATAAGCGCATTAGCATTGTTTATTCGTTGCATTGTTCTGTTGTGGATATTAACTATGACGATACATGTTGATCTTTCACAGAAGCAAGCTGATGAAAAATACTTAGCTACTCTGAGGTCTGTAGTAAATTGCTTGGAAGGTCACCAAATTGATCACGCAGAATTTCTTCCTGGATCGAAACTAAAGGAGAAGATAAGCAAACTGGAAAAAGATATTGATGATGCCAATAGAAAAATCCAAGACAAGGTGGTGTCAAAGAGAAAAATGGATAAAAATGATTCTTCAAACAAATTGAAGACTCCAGAATCAAAGCGATCAAGGTTGCATTTAAAAGATCCACCTCTAGTATCATCTCCACTCTCCTTTTTGCATGAGCAAAGGACTAGTGGTAATATGGATGGAAATAGCTTGTATGATGGTTCATTGACGGCACATGTGCTGAGCAGACCCTCAAGTCATTTATACTCTCCTGCATCATCTGTACAACTTGGATCTGCTGCAGGGCCTTTGCTGGATGGTGTCTTTGGAGGTACATTAGCAGCTGGGGCGGCAAGCTTATAGGTGCTGCAATTGGTGGCACAACTGCTTCATTTTCCGCATATCACGGAGATATAGCATTAGACAATGTTGGGACAATGCTGAATACCAATGACCATCTTTACAGACGGCTTGGAATAAGGGAATCTGTATTATCTCACGAGAGGTCAGTTGGACAGCCTGCATTAGCACGAGTAAGTAGTCTGTATGGGGTCTCACCATCTATAGAGAGTTTTGCTGGTTTGCCAGATCATCCTTCTTTGGGTTCTACTAGTCGTATTGGCGGCGCTGATCTATATAGCTTTGCTGATGCCATTTACGAAGCGGACTCATTCCAGGCCAGCAGTTCTGCTAAGGCCGCCAATATGCCACATGTTCTTCCTGCCCATGGGTCCTCATACATGTATTAGATATACTCCAGGTCCTGATGCATCTCTTGATCAGGGCAACTGGAAGCCTGCGCCATCGCTAAACTTCTACACTGGGAAAATTAGCCTTGGCAAACTGGCTGAGGATGATATTTGTCCACACGAACCCGTTAACTGCAGTGTTGGCTAAACTAAATCTGTCGCAGATTTCTGTGGATATTGTGCTGAGCTGGTCTTCTGTCTTTATTTTAGTTATGTATCCCCTAAGGGAACAAAGCTGTAGATGAGTGCAATGTTAAAACATTTCTCAAAAGTTATCCATTTTAGAGTATTTTGGTGTTACTGGGTAGTACAGGTTTTCTAACTTTATACAGCCTGCTTATTATGTAAATGAGAATATCTAAGTTCCTTGTAGCAGCCAAATCTGTGGCCGGGGTTTCCTCCACTGTTTTGATGATTTGGCCCCGCTTGACGTTTGTAATTCCAACTCATTTTGATCTCTCAAATTGGTTGGACTCTCATTCATGTACTTACTTATAGTAGGTTAAATTCTGGGAACAATGGAATGGACTGAGAAGACAACATTGACAATGATGAATCTTTTACCCTGTGTTGGCATTTGAGAAACGGGAAGGGAGGGGAAGGAAAATTTTAAGGAGATTAATTTAAAAAGTCGAAGAAGTAGGGCTTTGAAATTTTAATAAAGGGAATATATAAGATAAAAAAGTAATGAATTTTAATTAAGAGTTTTTAATCACATTTTTTTTTTGTATTTTTCAAATTAAACTCATTAAAATTTTTTTCATTCCGCTCCATTTCTCTCGTAGACTCGTACCAAAAAGATTAAAAGAGAGTTAATGCAGGTAGGAAGGACAGATTGAGTCATTTTGACTGGGGATTATTTAAATTAATTTTATTTGGTTTGATTTTAAGGAGAACTATACTTGAGGACCAAAATCACAAATTAATTATTAAAAAAGTCATCAAATATAACACTCATTAGGCAAGTTTATCAGTTGAATATTTTACAACTAGAAAAATAACACTATTTACATTCAAACAACACATTTGCAATATTTACTATTAGAATAATGAGTATTTACCATTATTGGTTTTTAAAAATAAAATATTTGTGAATTTAGTCCTTGAACATAATTCTCCCTTGATTCAATTGAAATTCCATCTAGCTGGATTTATTAATTTAGATAATAGAAGATATGAAATCTTAAAAATATTTAATATTATTATACATGAAGTTAATTTTTTTCAATTTTTTTATGCAATCTATTTTTTTGGGGTAAAATATGCACTTTTTTTTTTTTTTGGTGAAAGCGTATTTCGTAAAAGTAGGTGTTGCTGGCATAAAAATCAAAGGGAGAATTGTAATTAAGTTCTGATAAAAAAAATATAATTATTAAAAAGTTCTAATGACAACTGAGTAGTTTGTAATGACAAGTTATAGAATAAAAAGTAACAACTTCTAATTTGTCATTAGAATTTTTTTATAGTTATTTTTTGGGACCTTATTGTAATTTTTCCAAATTCAAAACTAATAAAAGGATACATCATACGGATACATTATTCTAAATATCGTAATTATTGTATATTTTCCATTATATGTCTTTTCTTGCTCTTCAATCTAATTGAGGAAATCTCATATTAGACACAGATATTTATGACCATTAAGTCCTGCAAATAAAATGAACTCAAACTCCTAAACCTCATATCGCACAGTGATTTGTAGAGGCAGTTTTCTTTGGACTTCGCGTGTTACCTTTTAGGCAGTTATGATGGGTTTGAAATAACAATTAGATTATATCAACAACTTCCCCAGAAAAGCTCAAAAAGAAAGCATAAGAAGTGGCAGTATAGCGTGATCACTCAAGCAGTTTCTTTTTACACAAGTAAGAAAAAGCATTAAATCTTTGTCATTTCTTCCGTTAGTTCCTCCTCCTCCTCAGCATAAGAAGAGAACTGCTTTCAACTTTGGAAGATGTGAGAAGAAAAAGAAGAAGCAGACACAGGAAATGGATATGCCGTTTTGGAGCCTGCTTCTGATATTTTTAAGTCGAAATGTTGTGGTGGGGGCTCCTCCTCCTCCACTTTTCCCAGCAATGTTTGTGTTTGGAGATTCCCTTGTTGATGATGGCAATAACAACTACCTCAATTCTCTGGCAAAAGCCAACTACGTTCCTTATGGAATCGATTTCCCAGGTGGTCCAACTGGCAGATTCAGTAATGGCAAAACGCTGATAGATCTTCTGGGTAAACAGAAAAAAACCAAACAAAGGAAGTTGCTTTGGTTATCTTTTTCCTCGCTTAAGAACTGCAAAAATCAGATAGTTATTGAGTTTTCACTTTATAGGGGAATTGCTGGGTCTTCCTTATCTTCCAGCTTTTGCAAATACTCTCTCAGAAGGAAGCAATATTTCTGCTGGTGTAAACTATGCTTCAGCAGCGTCTGGGTTTCTTGATGAGACAGGATCCAATCTGGTATTCTCTCGGCTTAATTCTCACACAAACAGTTCTACCATAATACTAAAGCATAGTTTTGCAGGGAGATCATGTTACCATTGGCCAACAGGTCCGGAATTTTGAAACAACCTTGAAGCAGCTGAAAAACCAAATGGGCGACACCAATCTAAGTCAGCATTTAGCAAAGTCATTGGTTGTTGTCCACCTTGGAAGCAATGATTACATAAATAACTATCTCTTACCAGAATTATATGGAACAAGCTTGATCTATAATCCTCCAGACTATGCTGATCTCCTCATAGGCCTTTACAAGAAGTTACTTTTGGTAAAGACACTGCTAACAACAATACCAATATGGTTTTTCTGACATTGACAGCACGCAGATATAATGATATCAAGTATTACTATGTCTTTTTTTCAGGACCTGCACAATTTGGGACTAAGAAAATTCTTGTTGGGAGCTGTTGGACCACTTGGGTGCATACCAAATCAGCTAGCCACAGGCCTTGTGCCACCCGGACAATGCAGATTTGTGGTGAATGAAATAGTTTCTATGTTCAATGATAGGTTGAAATCGTTGGTCAAACAGCTCAATTCAGATCACCAGGGGTCCATTTTTGTCTATGGCAACTCTTTTGGAGCTTTCAGTGACATAATAAATCACCCAAACACATATGGTAAGAAATGTCTCTCCCATTGTTTGCATGTCAAAAATTAAAGAGGCTCTCAGTTAAATTCAAACAATCATATTCAAGTATGTATATACCTGGGAGCAACCATAAAGGTCTCTTGGGGGGTGAGGGGTGAGGCTGCATATATTTGTTCTTCCCCAGACCACACCTGGTAGGAGCCTTGTGCCCTGGGCCACTCTTATTTATATGAATATGCATGTTAAAACTTTAAAATAGTAGACTTCATGACAAATGCATTTCTCATGCATGGTTTTAATCTTTTTCATTCTAGTCCTCTTTGTTCTTGTAAAACAAACTGAGCCTTAAATGTGAAACTTGTTTGGAACAGGGCTTAGTGTGGTTGATAGAGCATGCTGTGGAGTTGGAATGAGGCAAGGACAAATAACATGCCTGCCTCTGTCAGTTCCATGCCCAAACAGAGACCAATTTGTGTTTTGGGATGCCTTTCATCCTACTCAAGCCGTCCATGAAGTTCTTGCTCATAAGGCCTTTTCAGGACCCCTCTCTGATTGCTATCCTGTTAATGTGCAGCAAATGGCTGCCATGTAGCCACTTAGCTTTACATCCAAACTTAGATCATATGTATGTGTTGGTCTTGAATCAAAGAGATTAATTACTATGATTTATCATGGTCAAAGTTTTGTGTTGTCTTACTTGTAATAGTCAGATTTGTGCGTATATATAATCATTAAAGAAACATCAAAATTTGCCACCAAACAAAAAGAAACTTCAAAATTTATTTCACCATATGCTAATATTTTTACTAATATCTGTACTCCGAAATAGTCTCTCCAATTTAATCTTTTGAAATTGACTTATTGAGTCTCTCTCCCCCCCCCCCCTCTCTCTGTGTCTGTGTTGGGGGGAAGGCAGAACTATTCAAGTAGGGGAAAAAAATAAAAGGCAAAAGTACATATTTGATATTTTAACTTTACCTAAGGTTTTAACTTGGTCCCTTAATTTTAAAAAATATAGTTTTAATTATTTAACCCTAAAAATCATTAGTCTAATGATTTTTTGTAACGATCATGATAGTTTTGAAAACTGAAATTAATGTTAACATTTGAGAATAATTTATCAACATTCTAGATCTTAATATCATCATTTTTCATCAATAGTTTTAGAGTCAAAGAACTAAAAGTATACTACCTCTGATTCTTAATATAAGAGCTAATTAACTAATTTAAATAGATTAAAGGAGTTTGTTAAGTTAGTTATTTGTAACAAACAGGTATTATCTTTTCTAGAATACCCTTATTGATCATGTGTATTAGTTACAACTACCATTTGATAGAATTTTTAACATGTGCAACTACTACAAGAATAAATAAATATATGAGAGACAAAGTGGATTTGAGTATTATATTTAGGACCAAATTGAAATTCAAATTACCTTTTATATTAAAAGCCGGAGGTAGTACATTTTAAATTTAAGAGATCAAATTTTAAACCTAATTTAAGTTAAAAGACTATAAGTATGCTTTAGATTGGGTTCACTTGGTTAGGTGAGAATAAAAAGCATATATGAGAGTCCAATTTTGTAGACCATGGAAACACGAAACAATTAACCACACAAAGCCCATACATAACAAATTGAACTAGATGGAGTGCTTAAACTAGAAGAGATAAAAGGAGAATTTGGGAAGCCAAATAATTATTTTTCAGAAGCACTTTTCTATAAATCAAGACAAACTCCTCCACATATTTACTTCGTATACTGTAAAAGCACTTCTGAAATTATGGTTTTGATTTTATCCAAACACCTCCGAAATAAATTACAGATCTGACCCATATAAAAACCTCGCGAGTCTTCACACTTCAATGCCTTGGCGAAGAAGCAGAGATTGGAGGAAACAAACTTCACTGAGAAAAATTATTTTACTATTAAAGTATTTATATATCATCCACAGTGAATATATTCATAAATTTTTTTACTGAGTTGTAATATTTTATTACAAGGTTATTTACTTGAAACATGCTTTGATGGCCTCTTCTTCTCTTCAAAAAAGAAAAAAGTCTTTCCATCCATGATAGAAAACATCCCGTTACAAAATTTAATATCTATAGTTAGTCCATTTTGCTTCTTTTTCTTTGTCTTTTTCTTTTGAGCATCTCAAGTTGCCTCTTCACTGTTTTATTGAGATTTTTCAAGCTCATTCTATCCTGTTCCATAACAGGACAGCTTGAGTTAGAAATAAAAGATTTTGTTCTTATTTTTAAGAAGAGTCATTACAAAGACTATTCTAAACCCACGATAAAACAAATATTTTAAAATTATACATTTTTTACTTCTAAAAAAAATTTCAGGCAGAGGATACCACTTAAAACAATTATTAAATAAGATTATTATATTTGGTAAAGATGGAGTGACAAATGGCTCATATATATAAATTTACTAAAAAGAATATAGATAAATCTTGGCCCGATTTCTTATTAAGTTCCTTTTTTTTTGGGTGAAATATTAGTCTCTTTATCTACATCAAATTTTTCTTCTAAGTTTAATAAAATTCAAGTGATTTAAATGGAAAATTGGTTAATTTAAATCAGCCGAAGAATCATTATAGGATGGGCCAAAAAATTAATTATTTTTGGATCAACCAAATTATAATTAGAATTTTGTAATATAAGATTAAAATGGATTATGGAAAACAATATATTTCTCCGTTTTAAATATAAAATCCTTTTTATAATATAAATTATATTATAAAAAGAGTTTTATATCTGAGATTGGAGGAGAATATTATCTATCACGACAATATGGCAATCTTATTACGATCGTTGTTATGATCTCATCGAAGCCTGCGTGGCCACCCGCTAGGCTACCCTCCTCAGTCTTCACCCTTTACGATCCGTTTTTGAATTTTCAATTCCCTTTTATTCTCCAAAATATCTCTGCAAATTTCTCCTTTCCCTTCCGCTGGGCTAAGGTTTATATTATTACTTCGATACTTCGATTCCATCACCCGCTGCTCCCACTCTCTCTCTCACTCTCTTTCTGAACCTCGGGCACCGCAGCGGAGAGGGATCAGCTCTCCGACGATGGCGCCGCCGACGACCGCTGCAGTAGAAGGAGCTCAACCGGCCCAGGGGAGACAACAGCAGCAGCAAGGTGGCTTTGGACAAACTATCACCGGAATTATTCGGATGGCTGTCTTTTGGTATTTCGCTTCCAAATTCTTCTCTCCCAAGAGACCCACCGAACCTGCTGCTCTCATGTCTAATCTCTTCCAGAGAGGCGAACCGTTGGTACGCTCTCTCGTCACTCCACGGCTTTACGGAGAACTTTTATGATCCGATAGACTGATGCTGCTTCTAGATTTAGATTAATCCGTGCTCAGTAGCAATTAAATCATGCGTTGTCTACACTTTAGGTTATGCCACACTTTTTGATCATTGTCAAAGAATTTATTTTTCATTCCAATGATTTTGAATTAGCGATTTTTCTTCCTAATTAACGAGTGACTCTGTTCTAAAGGTTTACGGGTGTAGGAAAAGATTATGTTGGCATCTGGATGCCTTACTTATGTATACAGCTTGATGCAACTGTGTGTTGATTCGTTTGCTGATTCAGTTGTACCCGAATTACAATCTCATATACGAAGTTTGTATAAGATTTTTCGTTTTTCACCAAATTCGTTTCTTTTTTTAGAGTCGAACCCTTCTGCTGTCGTCGTCTCTGGCTTCTTGTAAATCTTAGATTCTTTTTATAGTCTGCAACTCTTGGCTTCATGGCCACTGAACGAACTAAGATATTTGCTGCTGACAAATGGCCACATAAAACTGATCATAAAGTTTGCTCCTTGTTTGCCAACACCATCTGGTTTATAGATCTCTGCTATCTAATATAGTCCACTTCTTAAGCCCACATTTTACCAGGTTTGAAAGTGCATACTGTTCTTGCTGTTTTCGTAAACTGTACTTGTTTTGTTTACAATTTATGCAAGTTCATTTGGTTTCTTGTCATTTAACTTGAGCTTTTTGAACATATGCTATTTACAGGCTTGAGTCTTAGGTCTTAACTTGACTGATGCTTTCAATATTAAATTGTGGCTGAAGTTGCCTTGTCTCAAGCTTTGCTTTGCATTCTTTTCTTCGGGATAAATCTCTCAAAATAAGCAGTTGTAATTTTATGTAAGAGGAAATGTTTCTTTGCGTACAGAAGGACCGTTGGATCTGATTTGTATTTTGACTCAGATTTATCTTGCATCCTATTGTCAGATTGGTTCTTTCATAGCGTAAATAAAAGGGTTTCCTCAATTATGTAGCTTTATGTTTTCATACTCAAGTTTTATTCAAATGCTACTTTGTTCAGGATATGTGGCTATATCTCTCAGAGCATGAGAAGTTCAATGACTTTGGCAGTGAAAATGCTCTTGTGTGGCATGAAACCAATATACCATATGCTGTTTGGGGACCTGAGAGTACCCGATCTCTTTCTTTGAAGTATCGCCCATCTGAGGTATAACTTACTGGAAATGCTGCTTGTTACAATAAAAGGGTTTCACGTAATTCCCATGTCATAGTAGATTTTTTTTCATTGGTATTAATTTTTCAGGATCTGAAGCACAATGGGAGTCTATATGCTCATGTTTTCTTTGCACGTTCTGGATATTCACCTGACCCAAATGATCCAGAATACCAGCCTCAAGCAGCATTTGGAAGGACACATCGTAAGATCTTTAGCTCTCCACTACTTGAAGTCAGTTAACACGTAAGTTTAAAATTGATTTATAACAGCTCTCTCATGTCATGGATCTCAGCTGTTGTGATATACTTGCCGAAGTCAAAAGCAGATAAAAGAAGGAGTCTTTTGGGCAGTTCAGAAGATTCCAGTGAGGGTCAAGTGGCATCTGAGGTTGATGACACCCAAGATAATTTAAAGGACGATGGCCCTGTGGAATGGGCTTCTTATTGGAAACCAAATATTACAATAAACTTGGTTGATGACTTCTCAGGGTATGTTTCTTGCTGTTGTTTGACGCTTAGTTTGTTCCATCATAAACTATAGTGTAAAATCCTGACCAGTAATCTCTATTCTGGAGGAATTATTTAGCACCAGATGATCAACATAAGAGTCTGTCAGAAGAGAAGGCATTATTTAAATGAGAGCAGAAGTATTGAACACTTCTTTGGTCTTTGGTCTTCAGTCTTGCATGTCGCCATTATCTTAAAAGTTTGATTTATTTAGAAAAATCCCATTTGCTACTTTTAGCATATGCATGGTTCTCATTTCTTAAGATTTTTCCAAACTAATTTATCTTCAATGGTTATTGGCCATAGAAAGTGTAATGTCAGTGAAAGCAATTTTTTGGATTTCTACATCTGGGATACAATCTTTTGGTGCTGTATGATCCATGTTGCCAACCCCAGTGGGGTGAGGCTTGTTGTTGTTTGATAAGATAAATAAGTTCTATATTTAACATTTTATAGAAGTTGATAGCAATTAGCAAGCATAAGCAGATGCATAAAGGTCTTGCTTCACTCTGTCGAGTACCTTTTTAGTGCCTCTCACTTCAAGCATTTTACTGGTTAGTCACCTCAAGTGTGGCTTTAGCCTTCGACTCTAATATTGGATACTTATTCAACCAAGTTATGCTTGGAAGAAAAGATTTAATCATCTGATTTTGGACCTTCCTTTGCCCATATATCCTTTACTAAAGAAGACATATGCTAGTCAATTTTGGATGAATATTAAAAGTGACCTGCATGATTCCTTTTCATTTCTGTTCCGTTGATTCTGTTTTCTTTATCTTCTACTATTACAAGGTGTTTGACTGGCCTGCAAAACAGCCGATTCTCATGAGTCAATGCTGTGTTTTAACTTTGTTACAATTTCCTCGTCTGCAGGTACCCAAAAAAGGGTGCGCCACCAAATATTGCTCCATGTATCCTTTTGGCAATTCTATCTTTTTCTGTGTCTGTGTTTCGTTAATTTTGGCCTTGATTTTTTTTTTTTAATATTTAAAAGAATTCTATTCATATTATTTAAGATTAATGTAATTAATATTTATTAATAAAAAAGTTGCGGATAATACATTTTCTTTATTATTTTTCAGCTTTATGATTACTTATTTGACAATTTCAACATGCTGAAATATTTTCCTGTTTGTGCTAGTCTTTTCTTGTGATAATTTTTTGGCTATGGAATAGGGACTGTGAGTTAGCCAATTTAGAACTGTGTTTCCTTAATGGTGCATGCCCAGACTTGAACATTGATCCTATCTCTGAGGACTACTATCCAATTGTTTTTTTCAATGAATTCTGGTTACTCAGGGATAAATTGATGCCTGTAAATGAGACGGTAACTGAGTTACCTCTTCATTTAGAGGTAGGTCCCATTAGCATGACAAAGTGGCAACTATTCCTGCAGGTTGATCAGTCCTTCCAGATTCACCGTAGTTATGGAAGCATGCTTGAAGGCGAGGGTGATGAGCTGAAGGTATGCATTTCTAAGAAATTTCTAGTGATGCTCTCTCAAACTTCATGCCCCAGATGTTCTTCGTCTTTTCATTTTGCTATTTTGTTTCAGGCTTTGCCTGCTGTTGCACATGGATTCTTTTGGTCGAATATGCATCCCTTTTTCTCACAAAAAGAAATAAACTTCATACCCTGAATTTCTGCCTTTTGATGTATTATAAGTTTATATTGACAGACCTTGCGTGTTGCGTGTTGAATGATGACCTGACATTTCTGCGTATCCTCTAGCTCCCCCCTCTCTATGTTTTTTTAATAATTTTCCAACTGCATCTTTTGGTTGGTTGGTATCATCATAGTCATGCTCTTTACCATGTTTTTCTTCTTTTTTTAATCACTTACACTGTTGTTCAGGTGCTTATACCTACAATTGCACTCCATTGTAGGTTAGGACGTTTTGCTAAAAGAGATGGTATCTGGTGTATATAAAAAATCTAGGGGGACACCCCCGTTTACCTTTTTAAAAATTTAAAAATGAAAATTATTTAATGTTTCAGGAGGATATGTATGTATCCTCTCACCTTTTTACCCCTTTTTTAAATTGACCCCCCCCCCAATTAAAAGATGACTCCCCCAGTATCCTTTTTTTTTTTTTTTTTCTGGGTGGGGGCAAGTCTTCGTGGATAGATTGGTCCCATATTATCCCTTGTATTTTGCATGGGGTAATGGTTACTCATATTTTCCATAGAACTTTAGCCTGCATATGCCTAGAGCTAGGTTTGATGCCTAAAAGCCCAAGGAATTTCATTAGATTAGTCTCAGAGGAGGCTTCAGATGTTAGGTGACATGTGAAAATGTTATCTTTATTAAAAATTGTGCCAGATATTAAAGGCTCAATATTTTGGATTGATATACTAGACAAGGTTTATCATTGCAAATACTTAAATGCTTTATGACCTGCCATTTAAATCTTATTCATTGTTAACTGCTATATTAACTTTTCAGCAACCATACCTTTATTCAATCTTGATAAATTCTACCATTTATAATTGTCATTGATCTGTGACTATCTTGTGATTTGGACCTCTTCTTTATTCTGCATGGTAGCATGTGCATCTCAGTTTTTGATATTCCTGAATCAATCAAAGTCATATTTTTCCTTGCCCTTCTATTGTAGCTAAAGCTACATGTCAGCATATTATCCTTATGAACATTTACCTTAAAATGCTTATCTCTGTTTAGCTTTACCTTGGTTGGCCTGTTAGCAGCTCAGCACTCATACCATAAATCATTATTTTTGTAACAGATAATGGTTTTTAGATGGAGTTTCTAGTGGCTTAAGAGCAACTTCTCTGTTGGTTGTGTACCTGTCTTCTGTGCATTGATGAGTTTATTTCATTAATTACTGATTTTTTTTCTTTTAATCAGAGGGTATTCTTGGAAGGAAATCCTTACCTTTTGGCAGTTACCATGGTTGTTTCTCTGCTTCATTCAGTTTTTGACTTTCTGGCTTTCAAGAACGGTAAGTTGTTTCGTATGACACATTAACTATCTTAATGGAAGCAACGCCAATGAGGAAACTCTGATAACATGGCTTACTTCTAACAACTCTGTTGCCTTCTTTTACAGACATTCAATTTTGGAACAAAAATAAGTCTATGGAAGGACTCTCTGCAAAATCTGTTGTTGTTAGCTTTATTTCTCAGCTTATTGTCTTCCTTTATCTGCTTGACAATGACACTTCGTGGATGATACTTGCGAGTTCTGGCATTGGCTGCATAATTGAATTCTGGAAAATTGGGAAAGCCATGCATATTGAGGTATTTCCTATAGTCTTCACATCGTCTTTTCTATGCGTAAGCATATTTGATCAGTGTGTACTGATGCAGAGAGTATTAAAATGACACATGGTTCATGACATGTACACTGTATGGTCTCTTACTGGCCAGTGTTTGGTATTGTTTGTGGCACTATGATACTTTTCACAGCATTTTTCTTGAAAAACGGAAAAACCTCTGATTGGCTCCTGCTTTTAGGACTATGTTCTGACATTACTTTCCAGCTTTATCTACATCTTCCAATGCTTAAGATCTGTTATTTTTGTATATTGGATGTCTGCAATCAGCAATATTTTTTTTTTTTTTGTCACCAGGTTGATAGGACTGGGAGGATACCAATGTTGAAGTTCCGAGATCGAGAATCATATGTACGGAATAAGACTAAGGAATATGATGACATTGCAATTAAGTATTTGTCCTATGTCATGCTTTTCCTTGCTGCATGCTTCTCAGTTTACTCATTGAAGTATGAACGCCACAAGAGCTGGTATTCTTGGATTCTGTCTTCACTTACAAGTTGTGTATACATGTTTGGTAAGTATTCTTTCATCTGTATTGATCTTTCAGTTAGGAGTGGCAAATGACAAGACGGGAAGTCATGACTTGGTTACTTGGTTGCAACTTGCAGCTGGGCAGGTTGGCCATAGGTCATTAATCCATTTAATGCGTGTTAAAAGATTTTCTTAAAAAAGAGCTCAAACAGCCCATCACCCATTTACTTGGGTGTTTCCTATCAAGTTAAGCAATCCGTTATTTGGGTTAAGACAAGGTAGAAGCTAGTATAACTCAGTAAATTAGGTTAATGATGAAGTTAGACATAAGTTCTTTTGTTTCACTTCAATGACTAAATGGATTCTACTTTAATGCTCAACTGTTGCAGTTCATGCATCCTAATTGAGAGAGTCCTAAATTTGAGATGAACCATTATGCTGTGGGAGCCTGTGATCGTTTTTTTTTTTTTTTTTAATGATGAATTTATCTACTGCTATGGACCATTTTCCCCCTCATGGATTCCCAAAGATGATCATAACTGCGCCTCACATAGCAGAATCTAGTAAATGAATTGAGTTGTCAGGTTTTCTGAACATTTGTTTTGCTATGTGTTTCTTCTCTAGAATTAAATGTGCACACTTTTCAATATACGTGGCCATGGTTTTCTAAACATTTCTTTTACTTTGCTTTTTTCCTCTAGAGTTAAATGTGCATGCATGGTCTTCAATTGTGTAGACTAGAGAATCATACCTTGGGCAGTATTATTTCTCCTTATTGGAGAAATATGTTAGAATAAATCTGGACAAAGTTCGCTGTTGCTTCCTTTTCTTTATGTTTGAACCAAAATAAACTAAATAATAAGCTGATACCCTTCCATGGTGAAATCTTGTTCACCAGCGTACCAAGGAGAACATAAAGCTCGCTCTCATACTCATGGTCATTAAGCTTGTTGGTTTGCGAAATTGACCTTATGATGAAAAATTGCTGCAGGTTTTATCATGATGTGTCCTCAGCTGTTCATCAACTACAAGCTTAAATCTGTTGCTCATCTTCCTTGGAGGCAGATGACTTACAAGTTTCTCAACACGATCATTGATGATCTTTTTGCCTTTGTCATTAAAATGCCAACATTACATCGGCTGTCTGTTTTCCGTGATGGTAAGATTGGTTTCTTATAACTTCCATGAGGTCAGAATTTTGTTTATCATATGCTAGGGTCTAGCGTGAAGAAACTGCTTATGTGAATGGGTCACCTTCTGGTTGAACTGGACATGTTCCGCAACTAATGAGAAATGAGATGTCTTTAGCAGCATTATTTTAGTGTCTTTTTATGATTACTCAAAAGCGCATTGAATTTAGGTTTGGCTGAGAACTGTTAATTGTCATCACGAGAACTGAAAGGATATGATGGGAAAAGCATATCCCATAAGACGGACTCTGTTTACTATTTTAAGTGGGAGTTTTTGAAACTGGAAAGATGGTTCAGCTTTGTCTGTGAGGATCAGGAAACCGAGAGGATAAATCAATCAACTGGGTGCATCCATATTGTGGTCTATATTTCCTTATCTTGGCTATCTCTAACCAACTTTTATGGTTGCCACTTAGCTGGAAGGTTCATCTTCATCGTTGACCTACTGGACTATATTTCTTTTTTGTCACTACAATTTAAAATGAGTCATCTTTTTGGAATTAATCTTTAAAATGTGATTTATCGTTTGGTACCTGTGTAATTTGCTTTTTCTGTGAAGATTTTGCACTATGCAAGTGAGTTTGTTTATCATATGGCCTTTTTCATTGCATTAACTTCTTTTGCTCTTTTCCCTGCAGATGTCATCTTTCTCATATATTTATACCAAAGGTGGATTTATCCAGTGGACAAGAAGCGTATTAATGAATTTGGTTTTGGAGGTGAGGATGACCAGGCTGCAGATGCTGCATTAGTAGACGCTGCAAAGGAGGAGGAGAAGAAAACTAACTGAAAAGTTTTCTAGCAACTACGTTAGAAAATTTCACAGTAAACTGTGTAGAATGTAATGGGGAATTAACTAGTTTTTCACCTTCCCTTTTATTTTATTTTATTTTTTTTTTTACTGTTTTGTTTTCTCCCCAAGGCTTAAAGGCTTTTAGTCGGGCCTTCACTTCCAAATGCTTGCTAGCGACAGCTCAGTTTTTTCAGTTTTCGTGTTAACCCTTAACAATGATGTGTATACCTAGTCATTTCTATTATTTATGAACTATGAATTGTTTAATGCATATTTTGTGTCATATCACAGTCAGGCTTACCTTCCATTGTAGACCGCGTCTGATGCATACTTTGCCCTGCTGTATGAATCACTTCTGTGAAAAGTTTTTGGTCCACAATAAAAAGTCTCCCGATTAATGCTTATTTGTTAAATTTGCTTTTGTAATTAATGTTTAATTGTGATTCTTTGTATTTTTTTCCCCCCTTGACAGCCTTGGTTATTGTATGGCTAAAGTTGGGAAAAAAATTTGTGAAAGATTTAATGACTTAGCTATTATTTTTAATTTTGATGACTTTAACGTAACTTATCGTGATTTGAAGACAGTCCCAAGCATTTGAGCTTGCGCAAGTTGAGGATTAGTCATATTATTTATGAATACTGTAATTTATTATGACTTTTAATATTTTTAACCTTTCTTGCATTTTTGTCTTAATTATAAGAATTTTTATATTTTGAAAACATATACTTTTAAGTCCAAATTGTTAGCTCCATTAGGAGTATTTTAAAATGATATGTTTTGTTTTGCTTAAGAAATTATTTCGAAAATTAAGGGCTTTTTCTAATTAATTATATTGGGTTATTTTAAGCCAAAGACAAAATGATATCAAAAGGAAGCATGATTAATAGGTTACGTACCAAAAATAAACCTATTGAACTAAAATTAGCAGAAAGGAAGCAGGGTTTGGTAATAACATACAAATGATAAGAGGAATAATCATTAATAAGAAAAGAATTTCCTGTCAAGTGAGTGTACGTGTAAGGCGCAAGTTATTCAGAGACGTGAATGTGACTACGATGAAAGGCCTTGTATCAAATGAGGATTTGCCTTTTTCTTCCTGGCATTTAGCGAGGAATCTTGTATCATAATCTTATTGTCTTCGTTATTATAATTGATTTTTTCATCCAAAAAAATTCCTAACGGCCAAAAAAAGGTTTATGATTGAGGAGTTTTTATCCACTTAGGTGACCACATTTGATTCTGTATAATAAATTAGTGTATTATAGTACGTACATAGTTTGGTCCCAAAAAAAAGTACTCTTCTGGTTCTTAATATAAAGCCTATTTAACTAATTTGATTAGATTAAAAAAGTTAGGTAAGTTAATTAATTAATTATAAGAAAAGTGACACATTTTTCCTAAAACACTATAATCATCTTTCTTAATACTCCCTTTCTCTCTTCTACTTGATTATGGTTGACGGAACATCCATAGAGGTAATTTAGAGAAAATTGATGAATATAATAAATAGATTTTATATTTAAGACCAAAACCAACTCAAGAATTCAGTCCTATATTAAAGACCGGAGGAGTACATACTTAGGTTACTTCAAATGCTGGATCTGGCCAAAAAAAAAATCAAACGGTGGAGATTTTGATTTATTATGATAAAAAAACCTATATAGGTTGTTGGTTTTATACTTTAGGGAATGCTATAAAAGGGCATTTAACTGAAAAAGTAAAAGAAAAATATACCTTTAATCTTTTAATTTCATACAAAATTTCAATGTAACAGCAGTTAAAAAGATCAAGTGATCAACGACTTTTTTTTTTTTTACCAGTAAGTGATCAGCTACGGGACCTCGATGTCAACTTTGAACGAATAAAATGAATGGATGATGAGGACTGAAACCAAAGCACGCAGATATTCTTCACAGAATTTTGGGGAAGAAAAGAATTGGAGCAGAAAATGAGCGAGCATTTGGAGTCTGCGAGGAAATACATAGAGAAAAGAAGCGAAAACGCATCACGGGCTGATGGATTGCCCACCAGATTCTGGGAACCCTTGATCATGAGCGGTATCAAGATCGATCTAATCGAACCTGGCCGCGTCCTCTGCTCCATGAAGATACCCCAACGTTTAATTGTACTACGCACGCTTTCTCATCCCTGCATTCTTTTGATCACTATTTAATTTTGATCTCTTAATTTGTATCGCTTCTTACTTGTTCCATGCTTAGAATGCTGGTAATGCCTTGCACGGCGGTGTGACGGCAACCTTGGTAGATTTGGTTGGGAGTGCTGCAATTAGCAGTTCGGGAGCTCCAGTAGGAGTTTCGGTAGAGATCAACGTTTCATACTTAGATGCTGCCTATGCCAATGTGAATATCTCTTCTGTTCTATTTTGTTGTTCAATTGTCTGGTAATAGCTGCTTTGTTATATGAATATGAACTGGATGTTTACCTGTGAGGCGTAAGTGGGACAATGATTTGGGAATGTGGCTGAATGGTTTGATCTCGATATTTAAAAGCTAAAAGACTGATGGTTGTAACCATCGCCGCTCTACTCTCAAGTTTTCAAATCATTCCAAATTTGATTGTTTGGCCCGTCTGAATTGTTCATAGTTTCTGCTTAACTTCACCTTTTAAAGCCACTCACTATGATTGTAATGTATAGATAGTGGTAATTGAAATACCATCATTTTTCTAATTATACTTCCAAACGATGAGGATTTAGTCCCCCAGTGTATTCTACACAATCCACACCATTCCTGCCCCTCCCATTATTCACACCTCACTTCATTCCCACCAAGTTGTAAAGTAAGAAGATAACCCTTTTCTTTGGTATGGAGAAAAAGGCTAAAGCCAAATTACGAGTCGGGGGGTTAGAGTTCCCAATGGATCACTGCGCACAATATTAGGTATAAAGATAGGCCATTAAGTGGTTCTGTGCTCACTTAACCTTTCAACCCTTTCGTTGTCTGTCCTTGACCGCTAAATAGTTCTGTGCTTACTTTACTATCACATATTGGTAGTGCCTAATGGAAACGCTAATTTACGCACAGCACGCCCGGGGAAAAATTCCTTGGTTTCAGTGGAAATTCCCATCTTGATAAGCTCGTAACATGATCCCTTTTCTTAAGAATTATTGGTACTGAGGTTTGGACAAGGTCCTGTACTTCATCCTAGAATAAGTGTTCTTGTTCCTTTTAGGCTGCGAAGGTCACTATGGTCTTTCAACCAATAAGAAAAGTTCATGGTACCCAGTTTCCATATTTCTTCAATCCCTTTTAAGCGTTTCTGAGCCGTTTATCAATAGAAACATATTACTATATCCAATTACTCGAGAAAATGCATCTTCAGATGAGTTCATTGGGTTCTTCCAGCGTGGTGCTTGTGTCTTCTCTGTTCTTGTCTCGCCCATGAAGTCATAATTCTACTCATACTGACTCCAAGCTTTGTTACGCCAGAGAAGCGGGGAATCTTTCTGAGTGGAACCGTATTTCTTGTAAACGTGAAGTATCTCATGACAAATAATCTAGCATTTGGAGAAAGTAACCATGAAAGATGCAGATTTTGAATGAGAGACTGAACTGTAGTGATGTCAAAACACGTTTGTTGCTGAAGTTGGTTCTAAATACCATGTTCCATTTAATCATCGCCCAGGTTGACCATTGTTATGGACAAGCTTTTCAAACCTTCGTACCTAAAGGTGTATAGTTTACTCGATCATTGAAATGCCTAATGTATAACCTCTTCGACAAGACGTAGTATGTTCAGGATCAATGCAGTATTTGAGGATTAGATTGTTGGAAATTCTTGGTTGCGTTGCATGCAACGCAGTAACCCTTTCAGTTTAGGATCCTATTCGGGATCAACATGATGTTAATGTATGATTTTTGCTTTATGTGATACTAGGAGGAAATTGAGATCGAGGCCAGGACACTACGCATTGGAAAAGCTGTTGGGGTTGTCAGCGTTGAGTTAAGGAAGAAGAAGACTGGTAAACTTTTTGCGCAGGGGCGTCATACCATGTATCTTGCTGTTTCAAGTAAAATGTGAAATTCCGCAAACACAGATTAACAAATGTTTCAATGTTTCCATGGTTGCCCCCAGTGGAGTATCCCCTGAATCTTCCTTCATGAAAGTATGATCATGATAAAGAAACAGACCAATAGTTCAGTTTCAAATCCTCCTAATGTAATATCAAATGTTCTGTATATTTCAGTTTATGCATACTGAATGAATCCCAAAGCTATGTGATTTGTTTTGTTAATTAGGTGTTAAAACAGTGATCTTCCCCCAACTTATCGACACATTTCAATGAGGTGACTACCCGAGTGTTAATCATCCTGGTTGAATTAACTGAGGGATGAGATTTTTACATCTAAAACGCCATATTATCTATGGTCTGTGTAGCTAAAATAATTAAAAAAAATTACTTTAACACAATGAGAGAATATTTGTGATTTATTTAATTTCATCTTTTTATTATTACGTTGCACTGGATAAAAGGATTTTATATTGAAAAACGGTACCTGAATTTCTCTAATATCGAATCATCTCTTTTTCTTTTCTTTTCTTTTTGTTTTGAGTTAAAAACCATAAACCACCAGGGAGTCATGGAATGCCCACTATTAACTGATAAAACATTTTCTAATTGCTGATTCGCCGTCGAGGACTAGGAGATAAAAACTCGTTATATATATATAAAAGCTGATGGGCGATGACTTTTTCAAGATCAAGCCTGCTCATGCGGACCACATCAATGGGAAGAAATGACAAATAACGAGTCAAATATATTGATTGATACAAAATTTGGTCATAAAACTACATCGTGGAAAATTACGGCCTTTTTATTTTTCATTTTTTTCGTCAAGTAGTTTGATTAAAATAACTACTAAAGCTGAGAATCACTGGAATCATTGCCTATCAATCCAAAAGCTTCCCTGAAATTCAAAGTCTTCCTCATTGTTCGCCTTCCGACCCCTCCATTCCCCTTTCTCATCATCGCTGCAAATTCCCCATAATCTATTTGCCCATCCTGCAACACAAACCAACCCTCCAATTAAATAATATTCCCAACCAACAACTTGTGTGCTGTCAAAAAAATGGGTTTCTACCCAAAAATTACACACAAGGACCCAGATCATAGAAGATTTAAGCTCAAAAATTTGGGTTCGTGGATGTAATTTTTCTGGGTTCTAGTTCTACAATGGCAAATGAGTAGGCTGACAAGGAAACTTAAGATAGCAAGGAGAGAGAGTTACTGACATTATCTTGATCGATTTCCTTGATCATTTCATCAATATGGAAATCATTTAGACCAAACTCTTTACAAGCCTGTTGGATCTCATCAACAGTTATGTAGCCACTTCCATCTTTGTCAAAGTAAGAGAAAGCTGATAACAGATTCTCTTCCCTCTCCAGCTTATTCAAGTGTATAGTAGCAGCAATGAATTCACCGTAACTAATGGTCCCACTATTGTCAATATCAGCCTAGCATATGCAAACTCACAAGATTCTGTCAAGTTTTTAAGGGGGAAAAAAACAAATAGATGGCATAGAAGCACAAAGAGCAAAAATGGGCTGAACTACAAAGAAATAAAAGAATATATATCTTACTGCATCCATGAGATCCTTGATTTCTGACTCCATAAGGTCAGATCCTACTCGCTTTAAACCTTCTTTTAGCTCGTCAAATGTTATGGTTCCACTGTTGTCCGTGTCGATCATTTTGAATAACTCCTTCAGGCCACCAATTTCTTCCTCAGAGAGCCTCTCCGCTATAACCTGGGATCAGTATGAAGCAGATAATAAATGGTATGGTGCCAGGATTTCACAAGCTAGGAACTATGATAGGAAATACTTCCACATGGACAGAAGCACATACTAGAATACTACGAGTCAAGGATTTGAATTCATAGAGTTAATTCCGATTTCATCTTTTCCTCACAACAAAGCCAATTATCTATCTAAATATACTGCTGATATTAATTATAAGAATATCCATGCTTTATGATGCTTCCATTGAAATATTTATTTAAAAATTTGGAATCCAGACCCCCAGTGAACTCGAAGGGGCTGCAAGTGCAACCAGAACACATAAAGGAATAGAGACAAAAATTAGTCACATTCCTTAAATTTAAGCATGCATGAAGGATAACCATCCCGTTGGGAATCTGATGCCTAGTGAGGCTACCCAAGGCATCAAAAGATGCCAGTTTATAAAATTAAGAAATTCACCAAGCAAGACAACTAGCTTTGTCACATCCACCAAGATCCATATTATAAAGTGATAAGGGCTCTTCAAGCATTAGCCCTTTCCTGGCAAAAGCATCTTTGGCATCCCTAAAGCTTGACGTCACTAACTATCCATTTCATCCCGAATGTTTTTTCTGTGTCAATTTCATCTCACCAAAATTTCTTAATGCTAAAAGCTAATTCCATCAATTATGTTATTTAAACCTGCGGGCATGTTGTTACGCATGCTGAAGTGGGTTATACATTTATGCATGGATTCTACACTGTCTCATCTCATAATTCTAGTCCCCAGATGGAAGACACTTCCTATTTTTCTATCCCTAAGACCCTAACTCTGATATGGAACAAACACTCCTTCTGTAGTCTGAGAACAAGAAATGGAAATATCACCATGTAGAGTACCTTGATTCAGTAATTTTTAGAATCAATTGTTACAAAATGACGACTAACACATTACAGCCAACATATTTCAGGGTAGAGAATAAACATGAAGTACCCATGAAACCACAGCACATAGAAATAAATTTGTCAAAGCAAAAATTTATATAATGAAGCCTTACTCGCAAAGCCATCTTTTTGAGCTTATTCATTGCAGAGAACTGCTTTAAGCGTGACAAAACAGCAGAATCAAGAGGCTTATCAGGTGCAATGTTGTCATCAACAATCCATGGGTGACCTGACAAAAATCAAATTAGCACCACAGCCTTGTAAAATTTTAGAAGTTGCCAATCCCACTTGAAAAATCTTATATGGCTCAAAGCATTAGTACTACAAAGCCCGTACATCAACATAAAGCATAAAAGACTTACGGAGTACTTCATGGGCTGTAAGCCTTTTTTTGGGATTTTGATCAAGCATTTTTCGAATTAGATCCTTTGCACTGTCTGAAATGCTAGGCCATGGTTCAGACTGAAAATCAATTTTTCCTTCCAAAATCTGCCGGAAGATCCCTGTCTCACTTTCTGAAGGTGACAGAATTTAGGCAAATATATTAGCAACAAGGTATAGATGAAATTCAAGAACCAAAGAATGAAAAGTAAAAAAAAGAGAGTAAACTCACGCACTCTAACTATAATTTAACATATCAAAGATAGATACCTACCAGCCCAAAATGGAGGCACCCCACTTAGTAAAATGTATAAAATAACCCCTGCACTCCACACGTCTGATTCAGGTCCATAATGTTTGCGCAACACCTCTGGTGCAACATAATATGGGCTTCCAACAACATCAGAAAATGTTTCACCTGGGGATCATATCACTTTGTTAGCCATACACAGCGTGAAGGGGTTTGGAATTAAGAAAAGTAAGGAATATTCAAATAGTAACTATAATAAGTGCTGCTAAGTTCACATTTAACTTTTAATGGCTAAATACATTTTGCTGTAAACTGAATTGATAATTCATGCAATGACGATAATTTCAGTGCACCAGCTCCCAACGCTCAATGTGCTGTTGAAAAATATACCTTCTGTCAACCAACCATAAAGATGCAGACAAATGGATTTATATTCATCTTATCTTTTTGAGAAATTTTGCAGGAGAAAATAATTAAACATAGAACATGTTTCACATTATACTCACAGGGTACCTATCTTCAAGTGTCTAAAGCTCTAAGCTTTTAGCGGTTTGAAGTCCTTAGACACAAAAGAAAAAAGGAGAGAAAAAGTTTTTTCACTCCCCCAGTCCCATTAACATCATCTTCCATTTCTTGAAACAAATACAGCACATCCACTTCGAATTTATGAAATGGAGCAACCATGCCCAATGACATGCCCAGACCGAAGGCCCCATCTCAATCAGATTAATAACATCTGCATTTGCCAACTTTGAAATAAACAAGTAAATCGGGCATGAAGGATTCGAGATCACTGGATAAATTTGCAAATGAACATCTTTCACAGTACTGGAATGATAAATCTAACAAAGGATCTATCCACAATGAACAAACACAAAAAGCCTATACATTTCAGTATCACCCGAGATGTGTAAGACGAGATTGAAGACAAAGAAATAAACCAAGAAGAAACCTGGCTTGTAAAAAACAGACAGCCCGAAATCAGTTGCCTTAAGTTTGGCATCCTCTTCGACGCTATCGAATAAGAAGTTCTCTGGTTTGAGGTCTCTGTGCATGACCCCAAGAGAATGACAAGTTTCTACAACCTCAACAATGGTCCTAATTATCTTGGCCGCTTGCCTCTCACTGTAATGCCCTTTCTGCACAATCCTATCGAACAACTCTCCACCTTCGCACAGCTCCATCACCAAGTGAACAGAAACATAGTCCTCATAGGTACCATGAATTCTTACCACATGAGGGTGCTCAGACAAGTGGTGCATTATCTGAATCTCCCTCCAAACATCATCATAGTCCTCTTTGCAGATGAGCTTGCGCTTCGGAATTGACTTGCAGGCATATCTGCGACCCGTGGACTTCTCTGTACAAAGGAAAGTAGTACCAAATTGACCTTGACCCAATTTTCTGCCCAATGTGTACAGCTCTGTGAGGATTTGGGTCCGATGGGGAAGAACCCAGGTGGGTTTCAATGGTAAAGTAGATGTGCTCGATTTCTTCATTCTTCTTGTTGCAAAGTTGCAATCTTTGTCAAGGGAGAGACAGGGAGGGGATGAACAGAAACGACAGAAACCTAAAAACGCTGACCGAGTCTTCCTTCTGGAGAGGGAGGCACAAACACACAACGATCTTACTGCATCCTATATTCTCTCAAGCAGAGTGTGTGTCTTCCTTTGCTTCTGTCTTCGGATATTTGTGTGGGTCTACGTCTTTAAAAGATTTTCGCTTTCATATTCAGCCTTTGTTGCGGCTTTTTCCTATGGGCTCCAATCCAACTTTGCAGCCTGCACTGTCTGAAGTTTCTTTTCTTTTGCCTCTCTTTTTCTGTGTCTTGTATTTTTATTCAACGATAGTGATGAGCACGCCCTTACTCTCATGGCTTCAAGATTCACCGTCACCTGGTATTATATAAATATATATATATTTATGGCCTGATGGGGATTCAAGTTTTTTTAAGGCACAGTATTGAAGTTACAAATGGAATGCTTGGAGCTCTGTCTTAATTGAAGAAAATTTACTCTCTAGCTATGTTTTTTTACCGTGGATACTACCTCCTATATTTAATATAAGATCTTATTTAATTTTTATTTTGGTCCTAAATATAAATCCTAATATATCATATTTCTCACATTTATTTTTTTTTTTCCTCAATATAGTCCTTCTAATAATGTTAATTATAGCCAATAAACTTGATTAACAAAAATATTTTAGAAAAAACAACATCTATTTATTATTAAAAAACAAACTTAACCTTTTTTTTTAATTTATTTAAATTAGTCAATTAGCTGTTATATTTAGAAGAGAGAGAGGTAGTACTATTGTGTGACTTTCAAGTTTTAAATTAAAACAAGACTAGGACGACGTATACATTCTAAATTAGATCAGATATAAAAATTTAACCGCCCAACAAAAAAAAAAGGTTGCTAAATATGAAGCTTAAAAATGTGGATCATAAAATTTGAGAAATTTGATTTCTTTTTTTTGATACCAAGAGATTTTGAAAGCCATCAATATTTTTTTAAAAAAAATGGAGTCAATTTAAAGGAATTGCACATCGTAATTGGCAACATTTTGTAGAACTTAGAATTTAAACATTGAAAATGCCAATTTCATTGAGATCTAAAATTATACGCTTTTCATATACTACTCCTCTTGTCCTTAATATAGAATTTGATCATAAATATTAAACTTATTTTTCATATTTATTAATTTTTTTAAATTATTCTTATAGATATTTTTTTCAATTATAATCAAATAAGAAAAATATTAAGGCCAGATGACTCCATTTTTTTTTTATAATTCCTATGAATGATAGAAAGATAAAATGTCAAAGTGTTAATTAAAAATACTTTGATCCAGTCTATAATTAGGTAGAAGTAGAACTATCTGTTTCCAATGCATAATTACGGGTCATGACTCAGGTTTTTAAAAAACAAAAAATCTATATAAATTAAAATTGACCAACACCATTATAAATCACACCCTATATGTTTAAGTCGAATAAAAATAATTGTTAACTTAAAAACTATCAATCGAATATAAAAAAGAAATAAGAAAGATTAAAAAAAAATCTGTTTCAATTAGTTGCAGACAAATATACTGCTAGAAATAATATAATAACTTTGCATCAAAATAAATTAATATAAAAAATGAGAAGCAAATTAAAAAAAATTCTGGAGCAGGGACATGTTGTAATAATTTAGTGAGGGGAACAAAATAATTTAGTTTAGGAAAACAAATCAGAGATGAAGAGGTGCAATGAATTTTTGTCACTGTTGGGGAATAGTGTCATGTTTTGTCACTTCAACTAAAGAAAACGAAAGTTTGAGTTAGACAAATGCTTTTTTATATTATTAGTTGCCGTTTTCCTAAAAGGAATTATTGGTTTTGCAGACTGTATCACATGACTTTTATTTTTTTTAATCATTTTTTTATCCCTGAAATTTCTTTAACATTATCGCCTGCCATAACTTTCTCCCAAAGTGACGATGGGACCACTTTTATTAATGAACATTATTTTCTCGTCCACTTGCATTAGTTAAGTACGCAAATGGATAAATTGATATACATATGTTGGCAAAAAAAATTGATATATACTATCTCCGTCCCTTAATATAAAACCTAATTAACTAATTTAGAGAAATTAAAAAATTAGTTAAGCTAGTTATTTATAATAAATAGATATTGTCTTTATTAAAATATCTTTACTAATCAAGTAATAATGTGTGTTAGCTAAAACTATCGTTTGATGGAACATTTAACATGTACAACTACTATAATGACTATTTTGAAAAAAATGGATAAATACGAAAAAAATAGATTGAGATATTATATTTAAGACTAAATTGAAAGTCAAACAAACCCTTATATTAAAGACTAGAGGTAGTATATAGTATTGCTTCTGTGATAATTGTGGGCATGAGATGATTAATTTACCAACGTTTAAAAAATTAGTTTAACTATTTATAATAAACGTAAATAATATTCTTAACATACACTCTTTAATAATTTTATTATTGAAAAGTGAAAACTACTTTTAATGTAGATTATAGACAAAGAAAATTATATATTTAAAGACAAAATGAATTAAAATTTTATATTTAAAATCAAAACAAACTCCTCTATTAACTCTTACATGAGGGATGGGAGGAAGTAATGTTTTCTAAGTTCATTTTGAAAATAAAAAAATTACAGGAAATAATTAAGATAACTTTTTAAAAGTTAATAGTTTAATTTTTAAAAACGTAATTTACGCTTGAATGATAAATTTCAAACAAATATATAAGAGATTCTACGTGAATAATAAAAAATCTAATTTACACTTTCCTGTCTCTTATTTAATTGATTGTGAATCAGTAATCGGAATCTGAACGAATATAAATGTTTTGTTTGGGCAAAAAGAATAAAATTTCTTTTGATAAATCTCTTTCTTCATCAACCTCTCAAGGTAAATGGAGGAGACAAAGGTCACGGTATTTGAATCGAAACAAAATCATAATTTTAAAAATATTTTTATGATATGTAAAGAAATTTGTCTCGATTTATAAAAAAAAATTAAAAATACTTCTTAAATAATCCAAACACCTTGATACTGAATTAATGGCGCGTGAAGGTTTGTTGCCAACAGGGCCTTAGTAAAAAGCAAAAGGGGTTAGATTTGTAAATTCCTATATGTCAGTGTCGGAATGGGAAAGTAATTGTGAAATAATCTTCCAATGTGAAAAATCAGTACATGAGTTTTAAAAGTTGCTTTTGTCTATTGGTCCCAAAGTGTCTTGCCCCATTATTTTATGGCTGGCAACCAAGAAATCCCATATTTCCATCTCTCACCTCCATATCAAAAGTGGAAGTTTTCTATCAAACAAACGCTGCCAACTGCCAAGCCTGCTGGTCCCAAAAAAAAAAAAAAAAACGCTGCCAAGCCCTTCACCGATTTATTTTGATTATATATTATTATGCGCTGCCTTCTGTTTTTAATATAAGATTTTATTAGATTTTTATTTTGGTTTTAAATATAAAACTCAATTCATTTTATTTCTTATATTTATGTTTTTTTTTAAGTAGTCGTTCTAATAATAATAGTTTTTAGCCAAAACACTTTATTACTAAAGATATTTTAAGAAAAATAACACTCATTTATCACAAATAACTAACTTAACTTATTTTTTTAATCTACTTAAATTAGTCAACTAATTCTTATATTTAGGATAAATATAATCTTTCAAATCCAAACATTAAAATAATTTATTGGAGTCCTAAAACAGCCTCGCCATTGCATAAATCATGCAAATAGTTGGACAAAAGATTCTTGGCGCGAGGAGAAGAAACAGAGGACGTGTGTGCGCGTAAAGCAAAACACGTGATTCTCTATAGAGATACATGAACATGATCTGACAAACTATCCAGAAGAAATTCCATTGCATATTCAAAGATGGCAACTTTGCCTCCCAAAATAGGGCTGCGTGCAGAATCCAAAAGGTTACCCTAACCAATGCGTTAAGGGTAAGCTTTCCTACCGGCCTATCTCAATACTCAATAGGTCACAAAATCTTTCCCCAAATCCTCCGGAATATCTTCCTACCTTCAAACAAACTTCATCGGAACAGGCCAGCCAAACTCAAAAACATCGGAATAATTTCTGTGGTCAGATTGTCAACTCTGTACACTTCATCAACATCCCCTGCAAATAGAATGTATTGAAGATATTCAGCTGTAAGAAGTTAACTTGCAGAAACAGTCATGTGTGTGTGTGTGTGTGTTGTTGTCTTGGATCTGATTTTGAACTAACAGTCATACAAGAACAAGGAGTCACGGAGGGTTGATCTTCCTCTTTTCTCTTGGTAATGGCCTCCAGCAGGTTGCAATTCCATTCTTCTGAGGGAAAACCCGCACAAGTTTGTACCTGAGGTGACTGAAGATCGTTCAATTTCTTGGTTATTTCTGCAAGCTGTTGATCAACTTTGGTTTTCCAAGTGACCAATTCATCACCCCGCATGCCCTGAGAATGCATAAAAGCATTAGAATAGAGTTAGAGTATATAAGAGTTAGATAATTAATTTGTAAATATTAAAAAAAATTAGTTAAGTTGGTTATTTATAGTAAATAGATATTGTTTTTCCTAAAATAACATTATTAATCATGTGCATTATAATGGAAACCAATAACCATTTAACATGTATAATCACTATGATGACTACTTTGGGAGAAAATAAATAAATATAAAAAACAAAGTAGATTAAGGTTATATATTTAGGATCAAATTGAATATCAGGTCAAAGGAAATACATGAATACACATGCTGCCTATAAAAAAACACTAATTGTCCTTCCTGCAATTGGAGCAAAACCAATTCAACAAAACATGAATCCCATCAAATTCTCAAAAAGTGAAGGAGTGGTCGTCGTATACTGCTTAACCAGCTGCATATCCTTCAAAGAAGTAATAATCCCAGTTAAGCGCCCCTTAGTCATAGCTTTCAACTTCTTCTGTGTCCTCTGGAAATAAGAATCAATATGAGACATAATCAAGCCATTGATATTAAATAATACAGCACTCACTTCCATCAGATTATGTTCATTTCTCTCTTGCTTCTTCAACATCAGCTCCAGCATATCTTTGACAATGCCAATGAAAATTACTATATAACTAATTTGCGGATTTTAAAAAAAAAGTAGTTAAGCCAGTTATTAGTAACAACCATATGGGTAAATTTGAGTGACAAAGTGAATTGAGGTCATATATTTACAATCAAAACAAATCCCTTGTTTGGCTTCCTGGTTCAGGACCAGAGGTGGTATTAAAGAAGCATATATAATGGCAGCCAATAGAGGATCAATTCTGAAAATCTGCTTTTGACATCCAATACGTCTTCATTTTGGCCATTATTTTCTATTTGTAAACAGTGAGTCCCTCCGGGTGCCACTTGACCATCAATTTGCTTCATTAAGTGATCTAAAAAGTTCAGCAGAACATCAATTGTTTTGACTTCAATCCGTGTCTATTGGTTAAGAAACAGAAGATAACTAACATGGTTTTGGTTCAGGTCAAGAGAAAGTGGAAAACAAGCATTAATTGGGCAATAACCAGAAGTAAGAAAAGATTGAAACACCCGTATTTGGACCAAAACATAAGAATATTAGAAAAGTGGTCATCAGGTTGTTTTGCTCTATTGCAAGACTAGATAATTTACATTACAGAAACTTGCCAAGCAGTATCAATCAAGAAAGTCCCTCAGATCCCTAGCGCATGCTAGTTTATTTCAAATCATAACAAATTTCCTGATATATAAAAATGTGTCCAAGTCAAAAACAAAAAAATAAAAAGCAGTTTCTTTTCAAGATATTTCTTGTGAAAGGTCCCCAACAAATGAGAAACGTTGTACTGATGATTTCTTGACAAGCATCATGGATCATGGATAGAAGATATACTCCTCTGGTCATGTAGACCCATTTAACTAGGATTAGATTAAGGAAAGTTATAATATAAGAAAATGATCCCCAATCACTACAAGATGGGTCTTACATTTAGGACAAGAGGAGTACACCATAAATCATATTAAATCAGTGGTCAAGACATCAATAAACATAAGGAACAAGACAACCACTCGGTTTCTTGGAAAGCCCCTTTAACTAAAAAGCAGAACAATCAAACTGTGAGTTTGTTAGAACACATTGGGTTATATGACGTAGCTAAAAGGCAGAACAATCGAACACTGTAACTAAAATCCATCTCAGCCATCATTTTGCAGGGTAGCTCAAACTCAAACAAACAAACAAAAACCAAAGGAAAAAGAGGTTTGCAGAAAGAGAGCAGTGAGCAAATTAGCATCAGTCCAAAACCTAAAAACCGTACGAAACTCAAAACAAAATCAGAGAGGACAATTACTCCGGGGACAATGCAATGAAATTAACAAACAATTAACAATGTTAAAACCCTTAATAATAAAACAAAATAAATTAAATTAAGAATGACAAAACGAAAGACCTATGTAAGAAGTTCTCTATTATTTTCATGTAATTTGAATGGAATTTTAAAAAAATAGCATAATATATGTGTATCATATACCATCATTTTTTACGTGTTATTCTTTTTCTGAATACATAAATGTATGAACAGAAAGGATCAAATTTGCATGTGTGGTTCCCTCACATATCATATTTACACCCAGCAAATCTTTTTAGCTCAACTTATATAAAAATGCGCCTTCCACGTTTATTTTTGTAAACGACTAATTTCTTTTATGTATATATATGTCTAAATGTTATAAAAGAGGTAGACAGATTAACGAAGAGCAGCGAAGTAGCTTTCCCTTTTCCTGATATGGCCATTACATGCACTCATTTCCCATAGAATGAAAAATTCAAAGCATTAGCTAATACTTAGGTGAAGCCTAAAAGATGATTAAGTTAATAGGTAGACTACATACATGGCTCTCAAGCGTCAAGTCCCATCAGCATTTGTTATCTCAGAACTGCACATACGTATGATCATCATCAAAGAGAGTGATAACACATCTCAATTATAAATTTTGCAGCCATCTTTGATTTCCGTCGCACCATAGGATACGTGTATGCGTGGCCCTCCCTCTTATGTTCTCCATCTGTACGGACGTGGTATCCTCAACAGTTTCCTAGGTCGAAGCAGACAAAAATGTTTGAACTATATAAGGATGGTGCGGTGTTGTGTGAAAGTAGTGTTTTGGAAGTAAAATGAGAGGGCATGGGAATAGTGAAGAGAGGAGAAGGAGAGCACCAAAAGGGCATTTTGTTGTTTATGTGGGGAATGAACTCAGAAGATGTGTGTTACCATTGCGTTACTTGAAGGATTCAGAATTCCAGAAACTGATGGAGGAAGCAGCAAGAGAGTATGGATATAGCAGCGAGAGGATAGTGCTGCCATGTGAAGAATCAACCTTCGAGAGGGTTATCGATCAGCTACGGTTCAATAACAATGGTGGCAAGTTCTGCTAAGTACGTTTCTGAGTTGCGAGCATGGCCAGGAAGATGAGCTTGAGCCACAGGAACCATGCTCCCCAGAATTACCAAAGTTGTCGTTCTATTTCCTGTGCCGCATGTCCTTAGAAACACAAACGCCTTGTTTGGATACTGAATAGAAAAATTATAACTAAACGATTTACTCGGTTGTTGTTCGTTTTCTCTATGTATGATTGATTCCGCATCAGTTTAGTTCCAGTTTCCTTCTGAACAAGGTAATGTTATCATTTCTCTCTTTCAGCACGTATAGAACCCAATTGGGTCCTACCAACCAATTCGAATTTGAGGGAGGAAAAAACCTCTGCAAGCACAATTCCTTTTTTCCTCATTTGGAATAGGGTCATATAAAATTGGAGGGAATCACATAATAATTAGACTCACCAGAATTCTCATTACGCTAATTCCCAAATTTTAGATGAAGGAAAAAACTGTTTCATGTTAACAATTGCATGCTCATAGATAACAAAGTCATGAATATTTTCCATCGTATCTGCAGTGTCGCGTGTCAGATATTGAAAATAGGGGTCCTACTTCCCAAATATCAAAAAAGAAGGCACTACAAAGATATCTCAACTTCTGATGAGGGCCGGCGTCCTAAAATCCATACTTCGCGCCCAAGAATAATTTAAATTTTTTTAACATGAGACAAAATTCTCTAATCTATAAAATGGGAACAGAGAAAACTGAAACACAACTATATCAAAATTCATCATGATATTTCCTACTGCCAAATGGTTTCGCCAGTAACACCTCTTAGTTCAGTCATCAATGCACTGCCTAAGGTAAATCTCTGTTTCTCACGTTTCCGTTAACCTACTCAGACGCGTTTCTTATTTTCAAAGCCGGATGCAGCAAGACGTTGGCGTTTCTTCCAAGCTGGAATTTTACCAGGGAAAGCCCACCGTAATAGTCTCTCCCATGAATAGCAGGCCAAAAACATAAGAGCAGCCCAAATCAACAGTTTATCCCTTAATCCCTCTGGCAGTGGCACCAGCTTCAACCAGTCATTCAAGTCTCTGAATAGATCCGATGTGATCACTGTGAAGAAGACAACGGCAGCAAAGAGGGCATATCGGAATGGTTTGTTTTCAGAGATGCTCTGGTTGAAAGGATGACCCATATAGTTCACAGCAAAAGTAGCCACCTGAAGCATCATGCTCACCATGTAGGAAACAGTATTCACTAGGTTGGGATGAAAATCAGAATCTACTTCAATGCATTCCTCAGGCATGTGTTTCTCAGCCTCTTTAACAGAGGAAATCAGAAAAAACAGGTGAATTGCAAATTGTCCTAGGAGGGAAAGAAAGACATAAGCACAAAAGATATTGGGGTGAGGACGTTCAGCTGAAAGTGTAGGAAGAGGGCGGGCATGTGAGATGAAAAGGAAGAAGGCAGCAGTAAACACTCCGCTGATTGTGGCTTGCACATCACCAAGCTTGACACCATCCAGGTACATGACACTTAACACATATGCAGTAGCAAGGCAGTTGAGGCCAAGAATTTTGAACATCTGGAGGGTAGTCACAAGAGTACTGCGACCTTGACGAATTATGTCAGTGGTGGGAGCAACAGATGCATGCTTTGCAGTGAAAGGTGATGCCATTGAGGCATCACCAAGCTTTACTACAGGAGCACTGCGACCATCTCCATCCTCATTAAGCTCATCCAACATTTTCTTAAGCTTTTGTTTTTGCATTTCTGCAGCTGTCAGATGACGGTTACTTGAGTGGCTAATGGAATCTGATCGTGAAGCACCCTTGGCTTTTGAAGTGCCTTCTCCGCTAGAGCCAATAGGTTTTCCAGATGAATCAAGTGCAGACTTAGATTTCTTTGGCTTGTTAGATTTTGTACCTTCTTCCTTGGACAAGTCCGAAGAGGAGCCTCCACTTTTTGGAGGTATTGCATTCAGAAGAGCAACCCCTACATGGGCCTGAAACAGAGAAGTTAGCCTCTTAATAGTTGCTGTTACCTTGCCATGGTAAAAGATGCAAAGTGGCAAAAACCTAAACAACCATACCAACTGAAGACGCAAGACTTAACAAGGGTCAAAAGGGTTAATGATACCAATAATAACATATCAGCAACAATTGAAGTTGCAAGACTAACCAAGGGCCGAAAGGGTTAATAACATATCAGGATCCAATAGATCCTGGAAAAACATGGCTGTATTTAAGCTGTTACCACTAGCCATCTATATCACTGATAAAATGCATTTTCACTCAGACTTCAGCAAATAAATGAACCAAAAAGTCCATCATATTGGTAAGTACGCAAGCTGTAATGTCATAACAGGTTGCAATAAAAAATTCAACTGAGCGAGCTCAATATTCAGAAAATATAGGAGTTATCGGGTATACTATTATTAAACACAATATTACCTGCTTTAAAGCTCCAACATCATTTGTTCCATCTCCACACATCAAAGTTATCCTTCCTACTTTTTTGAAAGTGGTCATTATGAGTTCTTTCTGTTCAGGAGCCACTCTAGCAAACACCTTCACGTATGGAATGACCAGTAAACTAGCAGAAGTTTGTTCCAACATCTCAATGCAATCACCTCCAATGCAGAGATCATGAGTCTCTGACAAAGATTCAACCTCCTTCACACTGAAATCAATTATATATGTTAACCAGCGACTTAAGTTCAACAATATGAAACCAGTGAAGGCTATTTTATGAAGAACCTTGAAAGGCTCTTATTTGTGAGGGACAAAAACTGAAACCAATTCTATATGTTAATCAACCTAGAGATTTTACTAAAACAAGAACAATAACACAGAATCACAGAAGAGGAGAGCAAGAACTAAGTTCAACAATCTGAAAGCAATGAAGGCTATTTTTATGAAGAACCTAATTCATAAAGATCTTATTTGGGAGGGGCAGAAAGATATTAGTTTAGTTTTTAAAACAAAAAAAAAAAAAGGAAAGAATACCAGTAATGTAACCAGAAAACAGAGAATTTGAAGTTACCTGTAGGGGACTATTTCAGACTCATCGGGAGACATCCAGTTATACCCTTCACTATGACTTGCTGGACCAAGAATCAATGTCGGTTTTGATATTATATGCACTTGACTAGCAACATGGCAAGCTGTCAAAGCTTGATCACCAGTAATCATAACCTATAAATGTTTAGAAGATATTCTTGTAAATTGATAGTCACTACTTAAAAAGAGTTTATCAACCCAAAAAAACAAAACAAAAGAAAGAAAGAAAGAAAAAAGATAGGAAAAAAAATCTTGAACTTGTAAGCCTGGGATCAAATCAGGTAGAGCAAAAATTTTCACCAAATTGTTCCTTGCACATATTAGCTTGGGAAAGCATTTAGTTTTAAACTCTTAAACTCTTGAGTCTTTTCTAGAAGCAGAAACTTCCATCTTTCTTGCAACAGAGGGGAAAAACATTTTCCTTGGGGCCAGAAAAGCTCATCCGAATGGGCATGCTTACCAGGTCATGTGACGATCCGTTCAATTCAGATAAAATTGAGGCTGAATCCGATCTAATAGGACAATTAAATACCTAGGTTGTGTCAACATTAAGCACTGTGTCAATGAAAAGGAAAACTCTCAAAATTAACTTAAAAGCATCGTATGAAGAAGGTGATTCATTGCTTACCACAAATCCTGCAAAAGTAAGACCACTCTCCACTATATCCCTATCCAAGCCTCTAGCTTCACTGACCTTCATGCATTCAGCGAATTATAAGCAACAATTTAAAATACATGCATATGTTAAATCGCACATTAAAATAGACAAATGCATGAGCCTCTATTTTGAAACCCCCCTCCCAAAAAAAAAATCTAGTATAGGATTGTGCCCAAGAGCTGAGGTCCTTTTTTGTCCTTTTCAATACTCAAAAGAAAAGAACTTTGATCATCATTCTTGTTCCGATTTGCATTATCATGTGGGATGGAGGAAATTAGTGGTAAAGAAGAAATGTCAGCCAAGAGAATTCTTACTGTCATGTCAGGAAGAGACTTATAAGCAAGGGCAAGAACACGAGAACCCTGACGTGTATATTTTTTGTAGGTCTCAACATACGACAGTGGTATATCGGTAAGCCTATCTTGAATAATTTCTGGGGCACCCTGAAACAATTTACAAAAGAATTGGCACGCGCACGCACGAGTTTTCGCTTCTGATCAACAATTCCAAAAGTGACAATGAAAAGGCACATAAAATGATTCAAGAAGTATGCAACAGCTTTTAAATGTAGACATGATATTGGTCAATCATAAACATCTATAACAGATGTTCACAACAAAAAGCAGTCGGGCAAAATCAATTGAGCCAACTGCAATTTCCAGGCTCCCAAAAAGAAGTTAAGAGAATAAAAATCCCATGGCAACGGTTACAAAGTCTAGTCACCATTTGGAGGTGTGGTATAATGTATCTGTCAAAAGCCGAACAAAAATATATAAATAAGCACAACTAATCATAACAAGTAATGCAGGATTAAAAAATAAAGATATTGCTTATTTTAATCCTTAAACGTATTTTATTGTGTGGGATACATCTGGGTTTGTTATTGATTATATTGGGTTATTTGACAATAACGTTATCAATGTGGACGGTTGGGTCAACACACCCATCATAAATATTTTCCAAAGACATAACAAGAAAAGAACCAATATGAATGTGCAAAAAATGCAGGAAACAAAATAAGCAATTCCTCTGTAACCAAAAACAAATACAAACACATACCCCAAAGATGATGATCACAAATTAAGCTTGTCAAGGTATTATATCAAGAAGGACCTAACTGAGTACATTGCATGAGCTGAAAATTTTAAATTTCAAAATCCATTACTTGGCAACAAACCAACCTTCACAAAGGCCAAAAACTCCTCTTGAATGCGAACAACAACTGCCATTCGTTTTAAGTGAGATGCAAAATGGTGTCGCTGAACAATTTGGACAGGATTGCCATTACCCCTGCACATAAGGTGATGAGTGGAGGAGGAAAGGAAAAGAAAGGAAAAAAAAATATAAATGTTATAGAAATATGTGTAACATCCGTTTCCTTAACAAGTGCAGTATCTTTCAATGTCGTAGATACGGCATCCCTGGTATATAGACATATTTTGACAAGACCCCAAACACGCCAACTTTGATTTATCAGAGGCCGAATAAGAGAAACTTAGTTAATGTTTGACTTGGTCTTATTTTATTTAAATTCTTTTTAGGATTATGGAGTCAGTTAGCACAATAATAGGACTACTGAGTCAGTCATGGTCCACTTTGCTATTCAGTTTTCTCGTTTTCATTGTGATCCCGAGAAGTAGGAATATTCATTTGTTTTATGTTTATTGCAAGTGTCATTCAACTCTATAAATATGTTAGCCTCTTCTTTAGCTAGCATATGAGTGAAATACAATTTGAGTTCATTATTTCAGAGATTCTCTTGGGCCATTTTCTCTGCTCATAGTGAGATACTTACTGTGAGGGAGAGATTAGAGTGAATTCTTTATTTCTGCCTGTCTTATCTTTTTTTTTTTTTTTTAAATGTTTGTTGCAAGTGTCATTCAACTCTATAAATATGTTAGCCTCTTCTTTAGCTAGCATATGAGTGAAATACAATTTGAGTTCATTATTTCAGAGACTCTCTTGGGCTATTTTCTCCGCTTATAGTGAGATACTCACTGTGAGGGAGAGATTAGAGTGAATTCTGGCAATGTTCAAATGAAGTGAGTCCAATGCCGGTTCAATATTAAACCAAACTTCACAGGTATTAGCCAGCAAAAGAAAATTGTCAATTGAAATAATACAGAGGAAAGTCGGAACTAAAATTTAAAATAGCAGCAACGTTTTACTTACTTTTTTGGAACAGCCTTCTCATCAGATTTATAACTCCAATCAATTCCCTTGAGTGCTGCCTTCTCAAGAGGATCGCCAACCTTTAAGACATTATAGATTTGTGAGAATATAGTCTGGATCAAATAATGGAAGACAGCATGAAGGTAGCAGAATGCATGTCCTTCTGATTCTTTAGAAAGGTTCATGAGGAACCATTGTGCATGATAATAATCAAGCAGAGTATGTCAACTAGAATCACGGGGGGAAAAGATATGAAAAGATTCCATTGCTAATTTGTATCTCCAAAAATGGCCGCTTTTACCTAAGATATATTATTAGCATAACATTCAAGAAACTACATCCAAATCAATCATCCACATGCCACTGAAGGGGAAAGGAAACAATGATGACCATACAAGGACTTGGCTTTCAGAAACACAGGCATACCAGCTTATTATCAACAAGCACCAACGCATGACAAGAAGCCAGAATTTCTACAGTACGAGCGGGCACTTTATTCACATCAGATTCTAATTCAGTAGACCCTGCCACCCCAACAACTCCAGAGAACTCCTACAATGCAGCAGAACAGTTAGTGAGCAAAACAAGGTCTCAAAAGAAAATTGAATGCCATAAAGAGATGCAGTTACCATGTCATCAGAAGTAAGTGTTCCAGTCTTGTCAAAACAACATATGTCAACCTAGGACAAGAGAGGCACAATAAGTCTGAATGAGCAATGTCCAAGATATAATCTGCGTAATGAAGTTAATAATGAAAGAACAGACGGTAATAGCTGTCTTCATCCAGGTACCTTGCCAGCAAATGGTATTCTGAAAGGTTCTGTACAAAATATTCCACGCCGAGCCAGGGCAATTAGGGAAGTATTAACTGCTATTGACAATTCCATGGGTAACTCCGGAGGTATCACAGAAGTAATGATAAGTGAACAGCTTAGTATAAGCTTATACTTGCTCCTCGTGGGATCTTCTAGCCCCTGTAATATACAACATACCAAACCAGATCACAGTTTATGACGAAGAACAATTCATGCCACAATTTATAATTCATCTGTAAGGAAGCATTACCTTAACAAGTACATAACCAGCGGCTATTAAAGCAAACACAACCAAGAACAAAATGAACAGCCCACTTTCCCAGCTATTGGCAGTCACCTATAATATATGCATTCAGAAGAAAGGAAACAAATTCAATATACACGAAGTGATAATCATAACAGCATAAAATACTTAGGCTTACTAAGGTATATATCAATTTACCCTTTCAGTAGAGAATAAGATTGTCCGCATCAGCTTTCCTTGACTAGTTTCAAATCCCGTTCTTAGAACAACAGCCAAGCAGCCACCATCAGGCGTTTTCAGTGGAAAAGTCTGACACCAACAAGAACGTTAATAGCAAAATAATAATGAAAGCACGGGCAACACCTCAAATCAAGGGGGGAAAAAACATAAATATCATAGTTCTAAAGCACCTTGTCTGGGGTGTGCTGCAAAATTTTAGTCCCACCAAATAAGACATGACTTTTATCTCGCCTAGCCGACAACTTCTCCTCGATGCCTTTACCGGCAATTGAAACCTAAGGATGCTCACTTGTAAATGAAAATCGTGGAAGAACATCATGACATAAAAGTTCCAGCCTCAAAGGCCAATAAGAGATGCCTTGAAATGGAGTGGTTAACTTGAAAGTTGTAATGATTTTTCATTCATGATGTTGTTCTTACCTAATATATATTATTCACAGTAAAAATGTTTGCAAGGGTAATAAAGAAATCACATTGTCAGACATCAGATACGTGCACAAACACTAGAATTGAATTTGGGGGGAAACCAAACTACCATGACTATCTATATTTTTAGACAGTGAATCTTTACAATGATAATACCAACATCTAACAAGAATTATCATTACAGAAGCGTTAAAGCAAAACAAAGCAAAACAGTAAACAAAACAAAGCACGGCCTTAGCAATAGAGAATAGCGGTCAGTCTATGACCAAAAAATACACAAAAAATTCATAAAATTCAAAATCACTAAATTCAGTTGTCAGGTCCCTGATTTTTTTTTGGGGGGGGGGGGGGAGTAAAAATTATTACTTTAGCCCTTTAAGATATGTAACCAGCATAAAAGCATTTCAGAAACCTAAAAACTTGGAGAAGTAACTACTGCCAACAAACCCTGCACTAACACACAAATGGAAAGCAAATCCAGAAATGAGACATAAAATAAGTGCCATCCCTTAAAAAAAAAGCGCTTAAAAGTCACAACATATTAGACATTTTAAATAGAGAAAAGTATTTCAGAATAGAGAAACACCTTCCACTGAGGAGTAGACTCGCCTGTGAGAATTGCTTCATTTGCAATAGCACTTCCAGCCAATATAAGCATGTCTGCAGGCACAGACTTCTCTTCTCCATTCTGGCCTGAAGAGCGTCCAATAGATACAACATCCCCAGGCAAGAGATCAGTGCCAGAGAGTTTTACCCACCTATAATAATTCAGAACAAAACACGTGTACAAGCAGCTTTAGAGACCATTCTGTTAAAACCCAACAAGAGCTCATGAACTTATTTAGAATGCAACAACATACTTGCCACAGCGATGTACCATTAAGGTCTGACTATCAACACTAACACGTCTCAACTCAGTTAAAGTCTTCAGCCGGCTTTTTGCCATAGTTGACTCAAACATAAACAGCATACCTAGAGTAAACAAACTGTAATACCAATATTCATCCAAGCACCAGAGACCCACACAGAAAACCTGTCAACATTTAGAAGATCAAAAACAATCAAGAGCTGCATGAAGATTAAGAACTAAAGAAAAACTTTAAAACCTTGAAAATACCTGAAATACAAAAAAAGGCTCCATGCAGTTCTCTTTCAACAACTTCTGAAATGTAGGCTGAGGATAATCAAATCTAGAAGACCAATAAGCACCATGTTAGACTAAGAGAAATCAATCAGGATGACATAAGATACGTATAACCATTTAAATGGAGAAAACACAGACAATAGAAATACAAAAGGCAAAACATTAGAGGGTAAGATTTAGCATTGGCAGTCATTAAATAAAAACAGCATGCACACAAGCATAAAAATTTAGCATCCAGCGTCAAGGGTTCCTGAGTCAAATGAAATTTACAAAAATGTAAACAACAAAAATAAGAACCTACACATTGCGCCCCCATTTCTCAGCGGCAGCAAGAACTTTAGCTTCAGTGCCATGGCCAGTACTTCTGAGATAATATCCAAATGTTTCCTTGGTAGGGTAAGAAAGCTTGCAAAACGTTCCATTCTCCTCTGAATAGACAAAACGTTGTTTCCTGAAGTCGAAGTAAATCTCTTCTGAATCCACCTGCGATGAAAAGTAGAACATGAACACCAAATAGTAACAAAGTACTAACCTCCAAATGAAAATAATGTTAAGCGTTTGAGAGGATGTTTAGTAGCATTTTAAAGTTCATGGGGTATACCATTATGTTTTGATTTGATGTCCATGTACCAATCTTATAGTTAGGCCATAGTTCATAGAAATAAAATATACATGATATAAGGATTGAAATAGGTCGAGGACATAAATAGCAATAACTAGACAGAAAGGTTCGTAAAATAAAAGCTGAGACTAGAATCATGTAACTTCTGCCTCTTATCATCCTGCAATCAGCATAACTTCCAAATTCAACATTTCCCATGTTCTTGTAATCCATCACTCCCCTATTGTTCTCTCTCTATCTATTTAGCTATCTATTCCATCAGTTATCATTTAATTGAGCTGTAACCCTAAGAAGGAGCCCATTGTATCTTGTGCCAAAACAGAAAAGTTTACTGTCAAGAGTTCTTCGTCATTATAGTGTTATATAAGTGATAAATGAATTATCACCTCCGATACAATAGAAATGACAATCAATAATTTGAAACCTCTCTGATACTTACTGTTTTCCGAAAATTAAGCGGAACAACTTCTTTAGAACCTGAGAACTGAGCTGGTGTTATTTTGCAAGCATCTGCATCGTGAATATTTTTAGCCTGCAGACCCAGAGAAGGATAAATGATAATATCTTGCAGTTTTGTCTTCATCAGTGTCTAAAATATTGGACCAGGCGTTGGAAACCAACATACCTTGCTGTAATGGGCAAAACATTTGAAATCAACCGACCAAACCGTAAACAACCAGGACAGAATGTGAAGTGCTACAAGGCCACCCAATACAATGGCAGCATCCACAAAGTCTAGGCTGGGAAGAATTGTTGTTGGCCACAGAGCATATATAATAACGAAAGGCCAAACATCCAAGCGCCATGGCAAAGGCCTCTTCCTCAATAAATCAACTCTATCCACCACCTTGCCACCTACTCTAAAACCTGACATTGCACCACCACCCGATAGACTTCTCTAATATGTATATCTATACCCAGTTTCTTCTGCTCAACAGAAACACCAAATACATAGAAAGTCATGAAACGACAATATTGCACCCGGTACAGTAAACTAAAGAAAGCATCAAGATAAATACATATAAAGTAGTTGGCAAATTGGGGCATTTTTTCTAACGATTAGGGTTTGAATAACAGCAAGCTTCTGAGATCATAAATTGGCGCCCAGATCCGATCAAAATCTCGCCTTTCCTTCCTCTCAAGATACATGATAATACTGACTTAAGAATTAAACAAAATTGCAATAATCGTAATTGTATTACACGATGGTTGACGACGGTGATAAAATGTAGCAGAATAGACGGAAAAAATTACTGTACCTGGATCAGAGAAGGCGGACAGAGCAAGTCGCTTGGATTAGGAATCCGATACTCGCAGCCTTCAGTACGAGCTGCCCCAAAAAGCTAAGCTTGCAGGCAAGCAAATGTTTTTTTCCCCCACTTTGCCTGCCTAGTTCCCAATAGCGCTGGATGTACTTCAGCTAAAAAGGTCTTTGGATACTTAAAAAAGTGATTCTCAGAATTATTTTTTTACAAATCGAAATAAACTCCTCTACATATTTATTTTATAGATCGTAAAATCACTTCTGAAACTATAGTTTAGTTCTCATCTAAATATTTCATAAGAGATGTTTTCGTGAGTCTAAAATCACTTTTCAAAATCACTTTTATCTAAATCGAGAAAAACTCTTTTATATATTTATTTTGTATATCATAAAATAAAAATAGTTTTAAAATTATGATTTTGTTTTCAGGTAGACACCAATAATTCGCTGTCAGACATTTTTCACGTCGCTGCTTATCTATTTGCTTTTTAAAATCAATTTTGATCTTGAGTGAGGTATGATCGTGCGCACACAATTTGATGCATTGAATGTAGCGTAAGAAATAAAAGTAAGAATTAACTCAGGTTACTCACTTTTCCAGATAACTCTCCGGATTGCTCTTTTGGTTTAATATAAAATTCTGTTTGATTTTTATTTTGATTCTAAATATAAAGCTTCAATATATTTTGTCTCTCATATTTATATATTTTTTTTTAAAATAGCCCTTCTAATAATGATAATTCTAGTCAATACAATTGATTAGTAAGGATATTTTAGAAAAGACAACACCTATTTAGGACAAATAACTAACTCAACTTACTTCTTTAATCTCCTCAAATTAGTCAATTAGCTCTTACAATTAGGACCAGAGATAGTAAAATAAACAACTAATACTTGGAAACAGTTAGAGCCGGGAAAACGGGTTGAGTCCGTCGGGCCGGCCTGTTTAAGTCAAGGGCCAGGCTTATATTTTAGAGCCTTGAAAAGGAAGTCGGGCTTAAAAGGACCAGCCCTGTAGGGCCGAAAAATAAACGGGCCGACCTGTTTAGACCCGCCATTTTTTTTAAATTTCTATTTTTTTCTTAACTTAAAAAAAGAAACCCTAACATTTTAGACATAGCATACTCTTAGTTTTACTTATCCTAACTGCTCACATAGATAGTATTCACAAAAAAAAAAAAAGAATCATTATAGTTGTGGGAAAAATAACCAAAAAAATGTGAAAATTGCGAAATTTAAAACTAGGCATATTCACAAGAGTTAATTAATCCGCAAGTCCTTATAGTTTCAACGAATTTTGAATCAGGTCCCTATAGTTTTTTTCTTTTTATTAAGTCCTTATACTTTTACCTTTTTTTAATTAGGTCCTTGTATTTATTTTTCTTTTAATTAAGTCCTTATAATTTCACTAAATTTTTAATTAGGTCCATGTAGTTTTAATTTTTATTTATTAATTAAATAGATTAATACTGAAATATAAAATATTAATAATTAAATTAAATTAATAATTATGTAATAAAAAAGTAATAGAATTAATTAATTCAGGAAAATTTTTTAGAACAATTAATTTTTTTGCTGAAAAAATTAAAATCATTATAATAATTCAATATCTTTAGAATATTATTGTTTATAAACTAATATTAAATAATATATACTATTTTATGTTTATATAATAGTACTATTAGAATTTAGGGATAATTAATCCACAGCTCCTTATAGTTTCAACTAATTTTGAATCAGGTCCTTAAAGTTTTTTTTCTTTTTATCAGGTCCTTATACTTTCACCTGTTTTTAATTAGGTCCTTATATTTATTTTTCTTTTTATCAAGTCCTTATAAGTTCACTTTATTTTTAATTAAGTCCCTGAATTTTTTATTCTTTATTTTATAAATTCTAATAGTACTATTATATAAACATAAAATAGTATATATTATTTAATATTAGTTTATAAACAATAATATTCTAAAGATATTGAATTATTATAATGATTTTAATTTTTTCAGCAAAAAAATTAATTGTTCTAAAAAAATTTCCTGAATTAATTAATTCTATTACTTTTTTATTACATAATTATTAATTTAATTTGATTATTAATATTTTATATTTCAGTATTAATCTATTTAATTAAGCTTATATTTAATTAATAAATAAAAATTAAAACTACATGGACCTAATTAAAAATTTAGTGAAATTATAAGGACTTAATTAAAAGAAAAATAAATATAAGGATCTAATTAAAAAAAGGTAAAAGTATAAGGACCTGATAAAAAGAAAAATAACTATAGGAACCTAATTCAAAATTCGTTGAAACTATAAGGACTTACGAATTAATTAACCCTAGAATTTATAAAATAAAGAATAAAAAATTCAGGGACTTAATTAAAAATAGGATGAACTTATAAGGACTTGATAAAAAGAAAAATAAATACAAGGACCTAATTAAAAATGGGTGAAAGTATAAGAATCTGATAAAAAGAAAAAAAACTATGAGGACCTGATTCAAAATTAGTTGAAACTATAAGGACTGTGGATTAATTATCCCTATTCACAAAAATATATTGTTATTTATAATTTGTCAAAACCTGTTAAAATACTGTATGTGTAATTTTTACTGTCTTTATTTGTTATTCTCCCATATTTTTTATACTTGAAATATAATTGATCAAAAAATCTTTTAAACTAAAATAAAGATCTATATCATTTTTATAGTTAGAAACAAATTTAGAACTAAGGATGATGGACTCTTTTCTTTTTTGTCAGTATGACAAATGATTATTCTTTATGTATATTATGTTTGTTAGTTAAACTTTTTTGTTAATTATTTATAATTAAACTAGATCATCCGCATTGTAATTATCTACTGAACTTAATGCTTATTTAGTTATTTATGTCTGTCCTCTATTTAGTTTGTTTATTCAATAGACTCTATTACACTGTGATATATGTTTAGACATGACGATGTTTATATACGTGAGTTAACTTTATTTATATTTATACCTTTTATTAGTAATTTTATTGTTTTATTTTTATTATTTTGATAAAATATGAAAAAAAAATTCAAAAATTTCATTTTAGTTAAAATGGCCAAAAGCCCACGGGCCAGCCCGAGCCTGTCATCTCACAGGCCGGGCTTAAAAAATGATTTATTTTTAAAACTCGGGCTTAAACAGGCCGGCTCGTTTAAGCCCGAGCTCGTGACGGGCCGGCCCGTTTTCCCAGTACTAGAAACGGTGAGGGAAAAAAGTAGAAAAAATTGCAAATAAAACTCCTGGATAAGTAAAATTGTGATTTAGAACCCTAAATTTGAAAAATAGCAAATGAGAATCCGGTTCTATTTTTGTAAATATGAAATCATGATAAAATGTCTGAAATGCCCCTCAGTCAAATGGCAAGTTGATTATGAAAAATAACAAGTTCACTTTAACGAATGACAATTTCAGTAGATCAAATCACAACTTGATTAAGGGTATGCCAAATGACGAGTTGATTATGAGAAATGACAAATTCACTTTAGTAAATGACAACTTCAATAGACCAAATCATAATTTGGCTGAAGGGCGTTTCAGACATTTTACCCACATTTTATATTTACAAAAACGAGTCCGGGTCCTCATTCGCTGTTTTCCAAATTTATAACCCCAGATCATAATTTTACATATTTAGAGGTCTTTATTTACAATTTCTCCAAAAAAGTAAGACATGGAGTGGCATTTTAAGAATGTTGTGAAATTATCCATATATCATTAAGAAAAAACAATGAATTTCAGTGCGAAGTGAACTAATAAGATCAAGAACTCATGCATATAGTTTAGATTTAATTTGAATTTAAATGCTTTAGATTATATTTTATATTTTACTTTCATCCTTTTAAAAGTTATTTTAATGTGAATATGATCTAGAATAAAAATAACCTCTTAACTGTAAGTTTTTACAAAAAAATAATTTTTTATTAATAACATCATTAGATGAAAATTTTAAATCTAAATCATTAAACTTATATTTAAATTGTAATTTTTTTGTTTTTAATATAAGACCTAATTAACTAATTTAAGTATATTAAGGATGTTAGTTAAGTTAGTTAATATGATATGTGTTTTTCTAAAACACCTAAGTGTCTTTATTAATTACCTTCCTTCCTCTCCTATTTGATTATTATCACAGGAATATCAATAAAGTTAATTTTAAAAAATTAATACATATATAAAATACGTCTTACGTATAAGATTAATATTAACCCTTTAATTAGATTATACATTAAGTAATAAGATGTTTATATATTTCATTGTCACTGCTGTCAGTACTAAAACCAATTCAAAAAAATAGGTGCGTGATAATAATTTGCATGTTGTATATGTTAAAAAACATTAATTTACATATTAAATTTATTGAGATCTATAATTTTTCGGGAAAATTTCATTTAAGAACCGCAAAAGGAAATTTATATCAGTCAACCCTCAAAACATTCTGAAATATCACTGCGAAACCAAGAGACTAAACTGAATTTAAAAATAAGAGTAAGATTACAACAATACCCCTCACTTTTATTTTTTTAAAAAAATAAATATTAATGGACGTAACTGTTCCGGCCATCGAAGCCACAATAACAACCA